GCTGTCACGGCAAGGACTCTGTTCAAATACTTGATCCCGCTCTTATCTGCTACATCGGCATCTGTCCGAGACGCTGTAGTCGTTGCTATGGGATCAATCAACATTCATATATACCAGACTCTGCTAGAAGAACTCCAGGGCCAAGTATCCCGCTGCAATGATGAAGCTCGTGCGAGAATCCACCAGCGAGCAAACAGCAGTCCGCGCAGAAATCGCAAGATGGATCTGCTCAGAACAGAAATCACCCATGTTTTCAAATTGACGTCGCATTTCCTCAAAGATCCGATCGTTTACCAGTCCGAATACTTTCTTAGTACTTTGACTGCGTACGCTAAAGACCTGAAACTGTTTCTGATGGATGGCGAGGTGCAGATGGACTGGGAGTTCCAAAAGCTACGAAGGTATTACTGTGGGCTCATGGAATCGCTGTTTGAAGGAATCAATCGGACACAAGATCCCTCTCGGTGGATGACATTTGAATCTCGAAAGTCGGCCTTTTCTCTGATGGAAGATTGGTGCGGATTCTCGCCAAATCAGAATGAAATTCGGGCTAGGGAAGACAATATGCGGCAGAATCTGATGAACCAGCAATCCTTGGGTGAACGAGGCACTGCTACCGCGGCAATGGAAATTGAAAAACGTAACCTGAGAACCGCCGCCTTGAGCGCAATGGCGTCGTTGTGTGGCGGACCAATCAATATCACGACAGAGAGCGGTGTCACGCTGCAGTTTGACATACGCCGAATGCTTTCGTGGATCGAGGCCATTTTCAACTCGGGCAGCGACAAGATGAACGTCATCGGCAGGAGGGCCCTGAAAAACCTAGTGGTTCACAACAAGGAGTATCCGTATCTGCTAGAGCATTGTATCGCACGCTGTTATCTGGCTGACATTTCCAAAGTCCTTGAAAGTTATTTCTTGGTCACTGTTGACGTGCTACAAGAGCACCCAGACTACCCTTGCCCCTTTTGGAAACTCCTCGCCCTGTGCCTCTTTATGCTTGGGGATGATCAGAGTGAAGTCAGGTCGAAATCTTCAACTGTATTGCGAGTGTTGGAGGTCCGCCAGCAAAGAAACTCGAAGATTCAAGATTTTGACATTAGTGTCTCGGACAAGACTCAAGCTGTGTACAAGCTGGCTCAATTTGAGATCTCCAAGAGGCTTGCTAACCAGTATACTGAGCTTGCCTTCCACGTCATTTCCGAGTTCACTCTGTATTTCAAGGACCTTCAGCCGGCAGCACAACGAAATGTTGTTGCCATTGTTTTGCCCTGGATACAGGCGATTGAACTGACGCTGGACCCTAACGGAGGTCCCACGGCGCAGTCCTACGTTCTCCTGGCGAATTTGCTGGAAATCACAATCAAATCCGGCGGGGCGCTGCATAACGAGGTTCAGGCCCTCTGGCAAGCCCTTGCTACCGGACCGCATCTAGGAAACGTAAGTATGGTACTCGATTTCATCATGCAGCTCTGCCTAGAGCGACGCGAACAGAATTTCGTCGAGTACGCAAAGCAAATCGTCGTCTTCCTCTCGACATCAAACAGTGCACCTGGTAATAGAGTCGTTGAATTCCTGCTTACGCAGATCAACCCTAAAGCCATGGTTCCCATCGAGAAGAGAGAGCTGCCTCAGCCACCGCCGGATACTAGCAGTCTACCATACTGCGCCGACCTGGCAGAGGCCTTGCCTGTGGGCACCCAGCAAGCTGGATTCTCTCTCGGACAACTGTCGCTGATCTTGCTCGTAGACCTTATGGTGTCTCCAGTGCAGCTGAGCCCAGAGTGCGTCCCCCTGTTGCTGCATACTGTTACCGCACTGTGGGACCACTACACTCCGTTGGTTCAAGAACAAGCTCGTGAGATGTTGGTGCATCTCATTCATGAGCTGGTGATGTCACGCATTGATGATCAAACGGATCTGGACCGGAAGGAATCCATTGAGGAACTGATAGATTTGGTTCGTCAGCATGACCGCTCTGTCGTGTGGAGCTACGAAGATAGCAATGGAAAAGTCTATGACCACGAGAACAAAGTCCCTCAAAGTATGGAATATCTTACCAACGAGGTTGTGAAGACTTTTGAGGTCGCTTTCCCGGGAATCAAAGAACAATGGGGCAGATTATCCTTGACATGGGCTACCTCGTGCCCAGTTAGACACTTGGCATGCCGCTCATTTCAGATATTCCGATGCGTTCTCACATCTTTGGATCAGTATATGCTTGGCGATATGCTTGCTCGTCTTTCGAATACAATTGCAGACGAAGACGCTGAAATTCAAGCATTCTCCATGGAGATCTTGACAACTCTCAAGACGCTCATTGTCAAGCTGGATTCTGAAAAGCTCATTACCTTTCCCCAGTTGTTTTGGACAACATGTGCCTGCTTGGAATCAATTAATGAGCGCGAATTTCTTGAGGCATTGGAAATGCTACACGAATTCATCGGCAAGGTCGACTTTAGAGCCGCAAATGTGAGAAGGTTGATTGCGGATGGCCAACCAAGTAAATGGGAAGGCCCATTCGAGGGGCTTCAACCTTTGCTCCATAAAGGCCTAAGATCCTCTCTATGTTGGCAGCCGACGCTTGATATCATGGATGAGCTAGTCAAGCTCCCTGGAGACGGCCTCATTGGAGACGACAACCGGCTCTTCTTTGCTCTGCTGGCCAATTTCCCACGTTTCCTGGATGAATTGGAACGAGGTGGTCTATCTCCAGAGGCAATAAATACGGCCAAGATACTTCTCTCCGAGTCTGATCGGCAAGGTCTCGAGGGAATTGGTCTCGTGCTGGATGATTTGATATCCGACCGTTTCCAAAGCTCAGACGACTTCATGAGCCAGCTTTTCGTGGCACTTCGCGAATTTTACCTGCCGCACATGGAGTTTAGGATGATGACGTTTTTGATGGGCTTACTGACCAACTCTCTCTCCTGGGTCAAGGTTCAGACAATGCGTATTCTCTGCGTTGTTATCCCGGACATTGATATGCGCAACCCAGAAATCGCAGTTCATGGCTCTGACCTCATATCTCCGCTCCTGCGCCTCTTGCAGTCTGAGTTTTGCATGGGAGCGCTTGAGGTGCTTGACAACATTATGACCATGTCGGGAAGCCACATGGACAAACAGCATCTGAGGATGAGCATGGCTCGCTTAACATCAAAGGCTGTGCGAAAAGAGTATGAGCGTGCCCAAAGCCTCTTTGGCATTCCAGAGTTGTCTGGGTGGGCTATCCCTATCCCCGCTCGGAAGACAGAGGCCACGAGGGCCAACATACACGCTGCCTTTTACATGTGTCAAAGCACTGAAGGTTCATCGACAGAGGCTACACCTACCGCAGATGTTGAATTCCACTCGGAAGATTTCCCGTATGGATATTTCGACTCTCTGGAGCGGTCAGAGACCATGCTGTCAGACGAGGCTCGTGTCGAGGTTCACCCAGGCGATCTAGTTACGAAACTGGATAGCCTCGATGACTTCTTCGACGAGCCGCCGAGTCCTCATACAGATGATGATGGACGGTCATCTCTTACAATTACTGAGTTTACGCCCGAGTCATATGAAACGGGGACAGAGCTATACGACGAACAGATCCTACCAATTCTGCACGAAGCATCCAACAACACATCCTTTCAAAACGGATTCGTTGAACGACCCATAGTCTTTTCTAGGGTCAATGCTTCCAACACGATGAACCCAGGAGCGTTTACCATGGGTAGCAGCCTGGCCCCTCGCGCCGGTCTTCACGCTCGATCAATCACTTCGCCTTCCGCGCCTGTTTCCTATTATCCGCAAGACTTTGCCTCGGATGACGAACTGGTGGTGAGTGGCTTCTCAGACGCAGACGATGATAGAATCGACCTGGGAAGCATGGATGACGGGTCGTCGTCGTTTTCGCTGGACAGCACCTTGCGAGATCAAAGGCAAGACGTCCCGCAGCCAAGCTATCTACGTCTGACGAGCCGATCTAGGGAGCGCCAGCAGCGAGACAAGGCGCCGCCTCAACCAACTCCCAAGATTACGAGCAAGTTGTATTTGACGAACATGCCTGGAGAAGGCGACCCTATTTGAAGAGCCTTTTTTCTTTTGCTGTGTTTTCTTTTTATCGCTTGGATAAAGTGCAACAAAAAAAAAAAGCTATATAGAGATGTTTTGTTTTCTTGTTCTTTCGTTTTATTTACTTTATGAATTTTATGAGGGCATGCTGGGATTTTTCTTAGAAGATGAGGTGTTTTTTTTTTAACTGAAAATGGGAATAGATGGACATGAAACTGTATGAGTCACTAACAAGCAAATAATACCCTTTTTGGCAGTTGTTGGGGGGAGGGGAGAGAGGAAGAAAACGGCGGTTTGATGCATGTGTGCGGAGGAGAGAGGATTTGGTTGTAATGAAGAAAGAGGAAGAGGATATGAGTGAAGGAGATGTGAGGATGTATGCGATGTTGAGTTTGTATGTAATTATGTGGATGTTGATAATATATTAAAATATTTTTTTTGTGTCGAATTTGAAATGTTGTAGGGCACTGAAGACTTGGCGTTGTGATGTTTGGTTGTGTTTGTTGGGATGATGGCACTATGCATATTCTCATGAAACAGTCTGGATCATTATTGATGCTTGAGACAAGTATATTGCGATAAGAGCACTATATCGTCTCCATCGGCAGCTTTGACACTCTTCATCTTCATTTGAAGTCATGGTCAAAGTATTCCGGTCGTATCTCAGTAAGCGGTATTAGTCGGAGGTGCCCCGCTTAATGAATAGAATTTGATCTTGCACATCACATCACCATGGACAGCGGCAACTTGAACTGAGTTGAGATGACAGTACAAACTGATTAATGTGTAATTCTCAAGTATCTCTATCATTCATCTAAACGATGCGGTATTGGAACATCAGACTCGGCATCATACGCAGCAACACATTGACCCGCGGCTTTGCAAGTGCAAGCCGCAAGTCAACTACAACTACACCAACACCAACATCCAAATCAAAGACGCTCGAGACAGCACAGCACTCGGACCTCGCCTCATTCCTCGCCCACGCAAAACGCACCGGCCTCGACGAAACATCCCCCACATTCACCGGAACCCGCTACGAGTACCTCGTGGCCGAGCGTCTCGCCCGCTACGGCTTCTCCCTCAGGCGAGTCGGGGGCGCATCCGACTTTGGCATCGACCTGCTCGGCGACTGGACCATCCCGTCGACGGCGAAATCCCTCAAGGTCCTGGTGCAATGCAAGGCGGGGTCGGGATCCGGGGTAGGGCCGCATTTCGTCCGGGAGCTGGAGGGGTCGTTTGTGGGCGCGCCGCCCGGGTGGCGAGGATCGCGGGTGCTGGGGCTGTTGGTGACGGAGAAGCGGACGACGAAGGGCGTGAGAGATGCCCTTGGGAGGAGCCGGTCGGCGATGGCGTATGTCTGCTGTACGGGGGACGGGGGGGTTGTGAAGCAGATGCAGTGGAATCACCGGGCGGATGAGGAAGGGCTGGAGGGGATTGATGTTGCGCTGAGGAGGGGGGCCGGCGAAGAGGAGGATGAGATTGTTCTTATGAGGGATGGGATACCGCTGCCGATTGTTGAGTGAGGGAGGGTGGGTATGAGATGTTGCTTGGTGCAATATGACGACTTGAGCTTTGCTTTTGTGAGTCGAGAAGCAGTGAATTCAGGACTCTGCATTCTATGCTGATTGGATATTTGATGGCTGATGCTGGATGGAAGCCCACAACACCAGACAACATTATGCTCTATTTTAAAGGGCAAGGACTCATTCGATGGGATATCCCTTTGCCAGCATTGGCTGAGCCGAGTAGCTATACGCTGCTACTATACGAGACGTAGTTTATGGGATCTAAATAGAGTCTACATCTATGGCATATAGTTGCTCGCAAAGAGAGAGTACATGTACATTACCTACATGTACACAAGTTTCAACAGCTGTCTGCACAATGACTGAAAGTGGCTAATACGAACAAGTGAGCATTGATAAAATCCAACTTGTTCCCTCTAGATAACAACTCCTTTACAGCCAAGCAGATTGAACCCCAGCTGAGTTCAAATACATGTACCAACGTATCAAACTTTGAGCAGTACTTCCTCTTTGCAGCAATGAGGTTGGCCGAACGAAGTGGGGCACGTGACATCAGTAGCTGTGGACATGCACCCCCATCTCTGGCTAAAGTTGAAGCTTGTGTGTAGCTTCAGCTTCATAGCTTCGAACTTTGTCATTCCAAACATTTATTCTGTAAATTGCACTCATACTGTGGTGAGCAAAATAAACAAAACAAAAAACATAAAAAACCCCAAACCAACTACCAGGAAGATCTATAAAAGGCACTGTACGAGATCCTACCTGACGGGGATAAGCACCTCGATTCTACATTTCAATACATTCAACTCAAACCGCTACATACTGCCTTCAGCTCAGCTCAGCTCAGCTCAGCTCACCATGGCATCACTACCACAAAAAGGAAAAGACGACATCGCCTCCACCATTTCAAAACTCAGCATAAGCTCCGCAAAACAAGCAGCGCCGTCTAAAAAGTCCAAAGAGCCCGTCGCCGACTCATGGGAAGATGAAGATGTATCCGACGACGAAGCAGCGGAAGCAGAACAAGTCGAAGAACAAGGCCAAAGCAAAGACGCCGACGCAGACGCAGCAGGAACCTCAACACCATCATCACTAGCCACTCCCGCCGTCCCTCCACCGACGCCCGCCTCGCCGCTGGGCTACGAATCCCCCCACGAATGGGCCTCTTTAGCCAGCCAGAGCCAGAGCCAGAGCCAGAGCCCAATGGCGACGACGGCGTCGGCATCCGCTACAGGCAGCGGCAGCGGCACCCCGGCAAGGAGGCCCGAGAAGACGGACGCCGTGGCCAGGCGGCTGATTGCGGCGGGCCTGGGCATCAAGGCGCCCCGACAGACAGAAGAGCAGAGGGCCTATCAGCGGTCTGTGAGGGAGCAGGAGAAGAAGAGGAGGGAGGAGGCCAAGGCGGAGGAGGAGAGGAGGAGGGCGGAGGAGGACAAGGCGAAGATGGCTGTGTGGGAGGATTAAAAGAATTGGAAACCCTTTTTCTGGTTTGGGACATGAGGAGTTTCTTGTTTCATTACATCATCTCAATTTTACTGCATTATCAAGGTTGAACAAGGAGAAATATGTGGCTGCTTGAGACGAAGGTTGACGGTTTGTTTGAAGATAACTTGTGTTGAGAAATGAAGATGAGAGTGAGATGTTTTATTGAAGGTTAAATATTTGGTATAATCCATCTACACCCAACTACCCTTCACTATGCTAAACATATTGCATGAATTTTCTCCTTTTTTTTTTTTTTTTTTTTTTTTTTTCCCAGCTGCAAACTTCACAAACTTGTAATCTTGTGCATCAAATGGCAAGCGCACCATTTTGTCTTATAGGTTAGACGCACAACATTGCAGGTGTGTGCAAACTTTTAAAATGTTTACCTAGCTTGAATACAGTCAATTATTGAAAAAAAAAAAGAGTAAAAAAAAAAACGAAGACAGTGCTCCAAATTTTCTCAATTATGCTAAAGAGAGGTAGAAGGAATTGTGATTGAAAAGAATTAAAATACAGCCTCCGTGTTCTATGTTTCCAATATCCAAAGCGCTAGAACGAGAGGCGGGTATGTAAGGGCAACGAGTCAAAGACGACAAGAGAATCGAAAAGAGGACTGCGAGAAACGGGATGTGAAAATGACGCTCATAAACATATGTGTAACATAATAATACATGTATTTATATCACTCAGCTGGCTCAGTTGTCTGCGAAGGCTTAACGCCCAAGCCACGCAAACGCTGAGAGAGCAGGCTTTCAGGAGCGTTCCCGGAGGAATCGCTAGCTGTTATGCGATAAAAGGAATTTCCACCATAACGAGCATCGTCTTTGTCGAGTTTTTCGTACTGCGCTGGGCCCCAAATGCCAGCATCATGAGGACCTCGAGAGGACAGGCCACCGTTGGCCTGTGAAGACAAAGCGCCTGGTGGGCCGAGTCCCGTAGTGATACCAATATCATCATCATCATTGCCGCCGCCGTCTGTGGCATCTGACTGTGGATGGAGTGGTGATACCGAATCTACGGGAGTGGCACTGCCGCGACCAAAGCTGTGCGACGGGGCCATCATGGTCATCTGGTCAGGCGAGGACGCAATGCCATCCATGCTGTCAAACGTCGGCGTCTTGCTACCCACGAAGATGCCCAGACTGCGTCGCCGCAGAGCCTTCTCGCTGGCCAGCCTGGCTCCCGCACTGCTGCCGTGGCTCGGAAACGCATGGTTCATTGCCCTGATGGGCTTGTATGGCGAGAACCGCGGTTCAGGCAGCGTAGTTTCGTTGCGTAGCTTTTCTTTCCCATCGGGCACCCGGTTTGCAAAAACGATGCGAATGCTTTTGTACAAGTAGAAGCGCCCCTTGCTAGGAGAGCAGATGTGCAAATGAATGAGATATCTGAGGATGGGACGGTCCATGTCCGCCTTGGGCATGTTGGGCACATTATCGATTATAGGGCCAGCAGAATAACTGCGCTGGCGGATGAAAGTTTTCGTCCCTGGCGTCATGCCAGTCAAGTCATAGGGCACGAGAAAGAGTTTGACAGCTGTTTTGTTTTGATTCTTGATAATGATCTGGATTTGGCCAGTTTCAGGGATTCTATAGCTTCCTCCCGGAGGTGCTCTCGCAGACCCCGACGGGCGCCTGAGCCCGGTAGCCTTGGATCGTTCCCGATCTACTTCAACGCCTTCACCATCCACCCTGGCGGTTTCGTTGCTGGCCTGCTGCTTTCTGTCACTATACCGACTCTGGGCCTTCTTCCGCGACCTCGACTCCTCCTCTGGATTAGAAAGGCCGTTCTCCAAGTCAACCAGGCCAACATACGGGCTGGGGCCGTCTTCGAGAGGCGATGCTCCCTGCGGAGTGCTACTGTATCTATAGTACACGGCGGGAAAAGGGAGCGTCACATGCCGTGGGCATCGAAGACTCGGCTTGCAGTTACCTTTCCCCAAGACGCCAATCTGGGCCAAGAATTCGAATGGTTGCGATGGTGTTGTCGACATGCGGCCGCGCAGAATGCTTTCTTCGTAGGATCCGACCATGGAAGCATGTTGGATTGGCGAAGTGGCATCCGAGCCGAAAGATTGTCGTCGCGAGCGCAGAAATGCTGGCGTCTGAGTAGTGAGGAAATGATGATGATGATGGCCTTGGAGAAAAGTGGGAGCGGATGTTAACGAGCGGCGAGGCTGGTGAGCTTGATATGGCAAGGCACCCTGCCGCGATGAAAAGCGAGATTGTAGCCGGGACCTTGAAGGGGAAGGTGAGAAGAATGGTGTAGCATGGCTAGAGGTGAGAGTATGTCGCCTTGTGGTGTTAAATGTAGTGGATGGAAATTCCGACGGCACGGCCAAGTCAATGTCTTCATTCGTCTCAGACTGTGCGAGAGGACTGGTCGGCGGCTGGTACACGAAGCTAGACAGCGACGTCGACAGTAACGATGGGTCAGATTTGAAACCATCGATGGTATTGCTTTCTATCAGCTGGGCTCTGGCGCCATATGAAAATGGTGTAAAGCCTCTCGGCGGCGTTGTTGAAAACCAGGTATGCTGAGGCGGCACCCGTTCCTCGCTGTTATCCCTTCCCGAGTCACTGAGCTGTCCACTCTCGGATGCTGAGCCGTCACTCGTGAAATCGCCGCTGTGTAAGGCCGACCTCGGCCGTTCAATGCCAAGTCCATCTCGCAATCTCTCGTCGACTGACTCTGGCGACTTATTCTTCTCTGGTGTAATTGGTGCTGGTGGTAGGAGACTCGGGGATTCGGGAGACGCCTGCGTCTGGTCCTCTTGACTGTTCGATTTATCGTGTTGGAGGATTGTTTCGAGCTAGGTGCCCTGGTTAGTAAAGAAGGCCAAAAAAAAAAGAGAGGGAAGAAATATCTAGAGGAAGCAGCTCGAGCCTACATGTCTGTTGGGAACCCAAGTTGGGCTCTCTCCCCGTTTCAACCTCTGAATCAGCTCGGCTCTATCAGATATCCTGGTCTCCTCATCGCTCTTGGGTATCGACGGGCGAGCCTCAGGGCTATCGGGAATTGGCCCTTCACATAGTTCGAGGCGTAGGCTTTCTTCGGAAAAGCGACGACTCCTCGATCCTGCTGGCTCGATGCTTATGGACCCGGATGGGCTGGAGGCTGGCGGTACATGTTCGATATCGTCCTGGAAGATGGGCATTTGAAAACGACTTTGCGGCAAGATATTCTGTAGCGCAAAATGATCGGATCATGGGGATAAAGGTTCGAAATAATATTCAGCCGCCAAGGTGATGAACAGCCGCCGCCGTATCCGTCACCATCGGAGCCGATCTGTTTGCAGATAAATGGGCCTGGCGGTTCATCCAAGCGGGACGCTGTGCTGGGTCGGAGGCGTCTGTTCTGTTTCGCTTCTGCACGTCGGTTGCAAGGGCGGCTGCAAGTGTGCAAGGAGAAGAGCACAACACAATGGTAGAAACAAATGAGGCTGTACAGGAAGGGCGTTGGAACGGTCATAACAATACAAGTACAAGTATGGCGCAGAAGCAAGCCCAGCTGAACGCACAGGCGTTCGGGCTCTTACTGCCGGGGCGGCGCTGGGCGGTGAATCACGCAAACATTACGTCGGTGCCCAAATGAATGCGATAACCACCCGTGCCATGCCGATAGCGCACATCACGCTATTCACGGGGAGTCGGATAGCGCGCGCAGTGGAGTTTGCGCCAGCGCCATAGGCGGGTCAGGACGCATGTGAGCGCTGTAGGTGTGCCGCATTAGCACCCAAAGGGTCCTCGTACAGATTGTCATGTATCATCGGCTGATGTGCACCTCGTGCTTTGGAAACGATGTGGTATTGAGAGCACCTCAACTTTACTGTATCTAAAAAAGACTCGTATTGCAACCTTTTCCCGCATATCATATATGAGCACTATTATACTACTGGTGGTGATACTCGTTCCTCATCATCTATCATCTCTCATCTTCACAGCTCGCCTTCAGCTGGCGCCCGCCACATAATAATCCATTAATATCGGCCAGCAGTAGCCCGGATTATGCACACCGGCCAGCGGGCTTTAGAGCCCCCACTCACCCGGCAATGCCGCTGAAAATCGCTGGCAAGGGCGCTGTGCCGGCGTGTCTTTCAGTGCTCACCCGTGAGGAACCTGAACCGCTTTGCGCTCGCCCCACTGGCCAACACCAAAGAGGCTAGGCGGCTTTCTCTCACCTCACACCTCACCGGCCATCTCACTTTTACTCTTTGGGGGTCTCAAAAAACATCAAGATATATCCTCGATTCATCTTGGACGGTCTAAATGGGCTCCAAAAAGACGCCAGAAGGCGCAGATGCCTCATCCGAGGCCACAAAGAAGAAGCACGGATTCAGAGTCGGGCCTGAAAATCTGCCAGATGGGCCATGGCGTCGTAAAGGTAACATTTTTTCTCTTCCTTGTCAGAAAAATTTCCTTGCGCCTCACATGAATCATGTGCCTGAAATGAAATTTGAGCAACGAAACTTACAATACCTTTCATACAGTCGATAGAGTAAAGCGTGATTTAATTCACAGAGCCAAAGTCAAAAAGGAATACGCAAAGATCAAGGCTGCTGACCAGAAGGCTGCCGAAGCCAAGGCCCGTCCGAGCCATGGCGACAATGAGGGTGACGATGTTGAAGATGACATGAAACCTTCCCAAGGAGATGCCAAGGGTGGAGAGGGAGATGAGGAGGAAGAACAGATTCATCCCACCAGACAGCTCATGCTGAAAGATGAAGAAATGGCACAGACTGGAGCCGGTCCCGAGAAGACTACTGGCTTTAGTGACGGCCAGCGGCGGAGAACAAGGCGCCCTGGATACTACGACAAGCAGCTGAAGAAGGCCGCAGAGCGCCGCGAAGAGGCTGAGACGAAGAGGGCAGAGTTTGAGCGGCGAATGGAAGAGCGCGCGCAGAAGCGGGCGGAGCGAGAGAAGTTTAAGAAGGCCATGGCCAAGACCAGGGACAAGGATGGCAAGAAGAAGCTGGGAAGGGAGAGCTCGTTGTTGTTGGAAAAGGTTAAGAGGCTTGTTGGTGAGAAATAAGCTGCAAGACCGTGGTTTTTTCTGCAAGTTTATAATTTTGTTACGATACCTTGGCATGCTGGGCTTTGCGGTTTCGAGGCGTTTCTACTGTGTACATGGATCGACCTCATGGTATAGTGCCTACTAATGGAGCATATTGCACTGGAGAATCTGATACTATATGGTCAAATATCAAACGATGTCTAAGAGTCGATTGCGCATATTTCCACAAATTTATGTTGAGTTGAAACAAACTTGGTTGAATGCGATGGCTGGACAGGCTCCAGGAGATGGAGTTTAGGTTGAACCTAACCTTGCCCCGTATAGAGAGTAAGTTTAGCTAAATCATTTTACGCATGGTAGATAACCGTGGGATGCAAGGCCCCGGGGATAATTCACAAAGAGCGAAATAAGCAACACGTGGAAAATCTCAGCTGAATTCTACAAAAGGCTCATGCGAAGAAACACCAAACCTTGTGCTACGAGTACCGCATAAAAAAGACCAATCTTGATCCGCATTATTGAAACCTCGAAGCAGAGCAGTGAAGGCGCCAGCTGCCTATTGGAGGTAGTGCTTTCTTACAGCAGCTCGGCTAGCAACAGGGCTTTTGCGGCAGATCGACGGCTGGACCAGGGTTGAGTGATCAGATGCCATGGGTAACATGAAGTCGCTGTTTGAAGCGATTGAGCGGGTTGAGATTGCAGAAGGCAGTCGTATGTGATGTTTGCTGAATTGAGGAAGAAGATGAAACGAAAGAAAGTTGAATATTGATAGGTGCACGAGTATCAAGTAGCCCGTATCATGGTACATGTGGTTTGAAAGCAGTGTTGGTTATAGACTGAACAGGGTTATGATAAACGTCGGCCGCGACGAGGTACGAATCGGGAAGCTGATGGGGTTCAGCCATTTACATGATGCATCAAATGCGCGTTGGGCGAGGTGCAACTCAGCTCATCCAACGGAGAAGACTACCAAGTTTGGTGAACGTGATGCATACTGCGGTATCGAAAGATGGGCTGTCCGTTATCCAATAGAGAAGAAGAGGGTTTTTACAGAAAATTAATTTATGCTCATCCAAGCTCTCCTACACAAGCCTTGAAGCAACCTGGACGACTAGCAAGATGAAGGAGAGCAAACATTTCCGCACGAGGTAATGAACAGATGTTAGTGTATCAATAATCAATAAATGTCATTTGCTGATGGACAATGCGGAGGATTGAGGCTTCATTTCGGCGTACTTTACAACCAAACGACGGAACCAACCAACTCGCCCTCATCAAAGTCAAAAGAGCCAATCCCGTCTCGAAACTCACAGGTTGTCACATCCTGTTTCGTACTAGGAGCTGCAAAGTGCTCAATCAAGGTGAAACAGCGGCTTAAGTGGAGAGGGGGCCAAAGTCATGCTGTGAAACAGAGGCTGACTAACGCCTGTGAGTTTTGGGGAATTCCATTCTGGAATGTCATCTCAATACACTGATGAGAATTGTACCGCGTGGCGACGCCATGTTCAATTTCGATCCCGGAAAATCTTTGGATGCAATTACTTGTGGAAATGGGAAATTAAGACACAATAGATGAAACGGGAAACCGCTGATGTACACTCGACGTTGCGTGGAAGACGGCGCCCGAGTCAAGGCGGGTGTGGAATCATTCGAATCCATCAAATATCCCCACGAGTTGTTTTGGCGGTGGGATTAACCCCTGTTTGCCGCTGCCCATAGTACTGGCGGGTAGCACGCACTGTCCACTTGTGCCTCGTGCGCCCTTCCCGTTGCTTTATTACTGGTAACGTAGATGGGAGTGTTATTACGGGATGCGTGCTAGCTGTGTGCTAAGAGAAGCCATCTCACGGCTCCAGGGCAGTTTATATAAGACTACGGGCGTTATTTGCAGCCTACGCAGAACCTCATCACACATTGTGCTCCGTCGGTGGCGATTTCACTGGAAAAAGTCTTCGTCCTACGTTGCCTGCATGCGACTTGCAGACCGTCTATTGATGGCTTGCTCCGCTGCAGATTGTGGGAATTTGTGCTCCGTAGAGAGTACTCGCAGCGTAATGACTTGCTTCCAGCTTACAAATGTAATTGCTACTTCACCTTCTGTGTAATCTGCGAGGTGAGTAGTCAGCTGAATAAAGTAAACAAGCCATTGATGCTGTAACACATGGCGGAGTGCTGAATCCTCAATTCTAGATTTCTGCGGCGTGGCACGCATACGGTGCAGATACTGTGCAGCCATCTGCATCAACTTGGTTTCAGCATCTATCTACATGTACCTTCAGATTGGTCTATCACGGAGCCCACGGAAGCACCTCACGTTGGCTGAGGTCTGGCAATCAAGTGAGGGCAACATCCGACACGCCGCCGATCCCTTAAGCGTATCTGAAGCTTAGAAAATGAAGCCAACGTTGGCCTTCTTGGCGCCGCCAGTCGATGTTTAGACGCGGCTAAGCGGCTCTCTCTCCAAACCAAAGACGAGAGAGCCTAGAAGAGGGACCGGTGGCTCCCCTTCATTTCAAATTCGTATACAGTTCCTAAAGGTGAGAAGCAAATATCAAATTCATTCACGGACAAACACGACAGTAAACTGTGTTCTGTGGTGCTTGAGCTATTACATTTCAATAGATGATATGCGGAACAAGACTTGATAGAGAGATCACGGGCTGGCTGCCCCCTGGAAAACGTGCCACGAACACTAACAGGCCTTGTACCTGTACATTTCAAGTTTCATGTTTCAGCCGGATCCCGGCTTGTTCTGCGTGCCTTGGGGAACCAAGGAAAAAGGGAAAAAAAAAAAAAAAAAAAAAAAAGGGAGCAGCCCGCGTCTCCCTTGCGGACATTTTTCGCAGCGGTTCTGGAGAGCAGCCCCTGACCTTTTTTGGCTTCTGTAGTTGGACAACTGCGCCACGTCCCCTGGACAAAAGAGTCCCACAGTGGTTCGTGTGCAGGCGCCAGCACATACAAGGCACCTACTAACGTGCACCAAGCTCCCCGTAGTGCGACCAGCTCCCTAAGACTGCGTCCAGGATGGTCTCTTTAGCTGATGCCAAGTATGGAGTACCGCTACCTGCGTCGTGATGGGCAGTTTTGGCCGTCGTTGGAGGTTCGTGGATTAGGCGGTCGGGCTCAGATGGGTACTGGGCGTTGCAGAATCTGGATACCACGCCATGTACCTTTTGCGATCTCAGCTCAAATCGGTACTTGAGGGGGTGGCTTGCCGAAGTAACCACGACTTGGGATGCTTCTCCAACATCAGACGTCAGGCTTGCTTATGAATGTTTCATTCCAAGCAGTCCATCTATTTTTACATTGATATAGGGAAAACAGAGAGCGAATGGTATGAAAGAGGGCAACAGAGTACTAATCATGCCCACTGCCACCATGAATAAGCAATTCTCAAAATAAAGCACAAACATGAAAACAACCTTCTCGCGTAATACTGCTTTTTTTTTCTTTGGCCTCGCAGCATCACCGCAACTCTTCAGTCTCAGCTTCAAGCCACTTGACCTTGTGCATGCCCCGGCCTGCCGCTAACAACGTGCTAAAGAGCCCTTTGGTCTTGAATCTGCACCAGCTAATCCTGGGTACCTCGCAGCTTAACACGCAGCGGCGCAAACTTGTACCGCCAGCTCCCTGTCAGCGTACTCGCCGTACCTGTTTTAGGGGACCATGGGGAGGGGGCTCCTTTGGCGCGGCCAGTCCCTGGTACCTGCTTCTACAGGCATTTTGGCCGCCTTCTCTCCCACTCCCCAACTCCAGCTCGTTGCCAGTTTCTCCTCCGCCATTTTCTCCTCTCGATCGATCCTCTGCTTGCGCCGTCGCCTCGCCCTCAGACGCCTCGCTGCTTGCGCCGTGGTGCCTCGCACTTGAACCGCCCCGACTCGACTCGTGGCCCCCTTGTCTTGGAGCAACGACCGCTGCATTCTTGTGTAGCACCGGACCCAGCCGTCCGCAACTTGGCCCGGCCTCGCCAGAAGCCTCCTTTGCTGCGCGACCTGCTGCCAGACTCTGGCTGCTCTGCGACTTGCCCGAGAACGAGCATCACGACTAGAACGGCTTGCTTGCTCTGCATCGCCGTCCATGACCGCCCTACTCAGGCCACAGCTCAGCCCTGCCCGCCTCATCCAATAAACCAGCTCCCCACGGCCTGCTGACGAGATATCGGACACCGCACCGACTGCCACAGCTATATACATGCGACTACACACATATATATAGACATATAGATCTCGGCGTCTCGACACCTCTTGGCCCTCATCCTTTCGGATTTCTCTCTTCATCTCTAGCCCATCATGTCTGCTACAATAGTGGACGAGTATCTGGAGACCCCTATGGAGGCCGACGATGCCTTCCCCTGTAAGGGCTGTGGTGAGGTTTGTAATACCACCCGCACTGCGGAACAAGCTCCTGCCCTGTGGCTTCGACTAATTGTGTCCGCCTTTTAGATCCTTGAAGAAGGAAAAGCTTTCGAACTGGGTAAGTGTATTGATTTGCTTGAGCGCAAAAGGCATCATTCAGTCTATACCGCTGTGTTGATTTCCCGGTGGGACTTGATTGTTTCTCCTGACCGCCACGCACACCTCAGCACACAACACCAAACGGTTGATGTTGCTTAACATGCATGCGTGCTAACTTTACATCTTGCTAGCTGGCAATCGGTGGCATCTCGACTGCTTTCGATGTACCTCTTGCGGTTCCCTCCTCGACTCCGACGCCAATCTCCTCTTGCTCGGCGACGGCTCTCTCATCTGCAACAACTGCACATACAGCTGTACCGCCTGTGGCAACAAAATCGAAGACCTGGCGATCCTAACAGGAGACCAGGCGTTCTGCTCAACTTGCTTTCGCTGTCGAAACTGCAAGCGCAAGATTGAAAACCTGCGCTATGCCAGAACGTCGCAGGGCATTTTCTGCATGGACTGTTATGAGACCTTAATGGCCAGGAGAAGAAAGAAATCCAAAGCCGCGGCAGCGGCCAAAGCCAAGGAGAAAGAACAGGCGCCCACGGTGCCAGAAAAGTCTCTCCCAGCCCTTCCTCCCGGCGTTGTTCCCAACAATGCCTTTTCAAACGACCGCGTCGACCCCGATGGGCCCACGGAGCTATCACCACGGCCGCGTACAGGTCATAGGCACAATGAGTCGTCGGCTCGAGGTAAAGCAGACCGCGAGGCTGATGCCGCCAAAGATGGACTCAACCCAACCACATATCGACGAAATCGTAACTCGACTATTACGTCCAACAACGGCGATGGCGGCGACGGCTTCATGATATCCGTGGCTCTCGATACGGGTTCATCGCCAAATGGATCACAGAAGCAGTCTGAGAGTACTGGCGAGGTCACGAAGAAGGATCGTCGGCCGACCATGTCTGACAAGCGGGTCGATTCGCATTCTTCTGCTACTCACATCGCCTTCATGGGTGCCGCCGCCGCCGCCGCCGCCGCCGCTTCTTCCGCCGCCTCATCTCGCCAGCAGTCGGACCACGAAACCTCACAGGCAAAGTCTACTCGCTCTTCTCCGAAAGCAGAACAGGGCCAGGCTAAAGCATCTGACGAAACCACGAAGAAAAGACGGCCTACTGAGTCTCGGACTGACAGTTTGCAATCCGTCCCCCAGCTGCAGGAGGGTACTCCTAGCCGGACGGGTACTAGCACCCCACGGAAAGACAGCACATCTCAAGCTGAACCACGCAAAGCACTGGATAGCACTCCCGGATCACGATCCTCATACGATTCCAAGGCACAAGACGATGGCGATTCCAGCGTCAAATTTGGACCCCGCTCGGACAGTGTCAAGAGCATCCCGCGGAAAGAGGTCGCAGCGGCATCTACCCGTCCTGGTATTCCCCTCCTTCTATGCCCCCAATGCAATGAATTCACGTCCCTTGTTACTAACAAACTCATCTTCAGTCAATGGAAGTCCAATCACCACCCAGGGCAAATCTTTCGCCTCTGAAGATCCTACTTCTGCGACGGCAACTCCCCACCAGAGCCCACCCTCCAGACCTGGTGCAACCGGGAGAGCCTTGACTGATACTTACATGCAACCCCGAGCAGCCCCTCTTCCTCCAACCACCGCAGCTCCAACGCCACCCAAGGAAGCAGCATCCAAGAATTCTCTAGGTGAGCCCGTTTCACCGAAACTTCCCAGGTGGAGCGGCGGCGCAGACTTTACCATGGATGAGGATATGGCCAGGATACTTGGTGCCGACGAGGGGGCGTCTTCTATCCTCAGGCGTGTCTCCAACGCCGTTCGACACGGACGTACGAGCAGCGCTGAATCTACTCAAAACCCACCAACCCGAGGCACTCACACGAGAAGCATCAGCGAGACAGCCCGCGGCGCTATTTCGCCTCGTTGGCCCAAGACCCAAGACGATTTGAATGGTCAGGCACAAGAATCTGGAAGCCCGGTTTCCATTTCGGTTTCGGCCGCCGATACCGCTGCCTTGGTCCTCAAGCAGCAACTGCGATCCTCTGAACAGCGAGTCGCTGAATTGGAGAAGCATGTCGGTGTCGAAAAAGATCTTCTCAATCTCAACCAGAAGCTTATTGAGAAGAGGAAGACTGTTTCCGTATTGGACACTCAGACTGAGATTATGATTCGACAGCTTGAGGTTCTGGCCGGTTATGTGGAGCGCGCAAAAGACACACAGACCCCTATTGATCCTCGCGAGCTAGAGGAATCCGCCATCAAGGAATTCGTCCAAAAACTCGAGCAGGTCAAGAAAACCTTTACCGAAGAGATTGAACGCCTGGTTGAAGAACGTGACCAGCTTGTTGAGGAGAAGACCCAAGCCGTGACCGACAGAGACCGTGCTCTCATGGAGTTTGAGCAACTGTCCTCGAAGAATGCTCAACTTGCGGATATGAACAATGATCTCACACACCAGATCCAAGAGCGCTTCAAGTCTCAAATTACTACGGATGGCAAGTCTAACGGCTTGGGCATCTACGGCCAACACAAGGGCACGTCATCCATCAATCTCGACTCGGCTAGCGTCGCAACCGGCACGACTCTTATTGGCGATGAGGACCCGACTCTCATTGTTGAGCACGGACCTACCGTGGTCCAAGTCCGAAAGGGCCAAGTCAAGAAATTCAACTGGAAGAAGGGATCCAAGACCATGGCTCAAAACATCACCAAGGGCGTGGGACGTGCCGTCGTTGCTTTCCAGAACGATCGCGAGAGGATGCAGCAGCAAGGCCTGGCACCTGATGGTATTGGACTTCCGTACAACATGACCGCCGCCCCAGGAGACTCTTCCAACACGCCAACGCCCAACACTCAGGCCGGAAGGCAACACCAACAACAGTTTGGCTTCTTTGGCAAGAAGAATGCAAATCCAAAGACTGGACTGGCAGCCCCGTCCAATATCGTGGTTGCGCAGGCAGCCCCAGAGCCAGCCTCAATACTATTCGGATCTGAGCTTACAGATCGATGCGACTTTGAGCATCGTCAAATTCCTAGTGTGGTGACTCGATGCATCGAAGAGGTTGAGCTGAGAGGCATGGACCAGGAAGGTATTTACCGAAAGACTGGTGGAAATTCCCAAATCAATATGATCAAGGAGGGCTTTGACAAGAGCGAAAACTACGATATTTCCGACCCTGACTTGGATATTACCGCTGTCACGAGTGTCTTGAAGCAGTATTTCCGAAAGCTGCCGAATCCACTACTCACTTTTGATGTCTATGAGCGAGTGTTGGAGTCCAATGGTAAGTTCTCCTTCCTCCTTGTGATGTAGGTTTTCAAGATGTATTCTAACTTTGTAATACAGCTATTACTGACGAAGCTGAACGCTGCTCTCACCTACACAAAGTCTTCACTTCGATGCCTCCGGCCCACCGAGACTGTCTGGAGTTCCTCATGTTCCACCTTCACCGCGTGGCAATTAGAGAGCCTGAAAACTTGGTTAGTTTACCCGCTTCTCGTCTCCTCTTCGTAGCTGCCAATGCTAACAATTGTGTCAGATGTCGCCTAAAAATCTGGCCGTCGTGTTTGCGCCAACCATTATGCGGGATCTGAGCATTGAGCGTGAAATGACTGATATGCACGCAAAGAACCTTGCGGTGCAATTCGTCATTGAAAACACGAACCAGATTTTCCAAGAGGAATAAGCATCCTTTGCATTTATTTGGCTACAGTCTGGGCAAGTTGAAGTCCTCATTGGCTAGATGTTTATGTTATTATGTGCTCACGGTTACTCTGGCGATTTTACGTCATGATTTTGGTCCCCCTTGCTTTCAGTTTTGCCGGTTTTAGCGAGACAAAATCCGCGGCGTTTTGTGCTTGGCCAAAAAAGTAATGTCCATTCCTTTTCTACTGGCTTGATCAAAGGCGAGGTTATCTACTTTTTCTTCTCTTGGAGGCGAGGCTGGACGACAGGGCTTGAACAGTCTCTTTTTTTTTCTCTTAGGACCCGATGCTTCTTTTTACATTGCTCGTAGGGGCTTTTGTTCCACAGTTACCCACCCCTCTTTCTTTTTCGGGCGGCATGAAGTCGATGTATCTCACTGTTTATTTGAGCTGGCTTGGTATGGCTTGATCACACAGGCTGATGTTTGGTTTTTCTGCTTGAGCTCACGATTTTTCGAATCCGTTGCCTTGTATGGGCTGTATTGTCAACATCATCGAGAGGAGTTGGATGTTTGAAGATGGAAGATGGAAGAAGACGGCTATGGATGCTGCTTGCTTTTTTCTATTCGTCCTCTCATCCTTCTCGTTCATCGTATTATATAGCTACGTTTGTTTTTTATATATATATATTTGGAACTGAGCAGCAGGCAGGCAGGCATGATATAGTTGAAATGGCTGAGGGCGATGCTTGATTTGAGTTGATTAGCATGATGAAGAACAATTAGAAGAAGTAAAAATATGAAATTTATGATGATTTTAGTAGAAGAAGTAAAAATATCAAATCTATGATGATTTTGGCGCGATTTAGTATTCTGCTTAATTTAACGACGTGTAGTTTACAATTCGACATGAATAAAACCTCTTTCGTCCAAGGTGGCAGCATGAGTACTACTACCAACATTGATAGATGCCAAGATGTGCAATATATATATATATATATATATATATATATACTTCCATTACAAAGATGTTTCTAAATAAATAAATAAAAAAGTGCCTGCCTACTAGATGTGTAACAATATCGACTAACTAACATGTATACGAAACCGCCAGGGCCTTCCAAAAACAGGGCCTTTTTGACAAGGAAAGAACATGAGAATACGAAGAGAAACAGGATTAGCAGAAAAAAAAAACAAATACATGATTTTTTTCTTGAGAAGAGAAGAGAAGAAAAAGTAAGAGAAAAAAAAGAGAAGCATAATTTTCGGGTTTACAAAAAAATAGAATAAGACGAAATGAAAAAAAAAAGAAGAAAGAATAAACCCCCATCCACCCCTTTCACTGCTCCCATCCCCTTCCCCCTCCTTTTCTTTTTGTTTCCCACCTGCAACTCACGAAAAAAAAAAAACATCTCGCCGAATTCTTTTCTATCACGCCCAAACAGACAAGCCCCAGTCAATATATCGTAGACGTCGCTTTTTTCTTTTCTAGGACAAACAATTTCATCAGGGGAAACATATAATATTTCGCCTTTGTATTCCGCTTTCATGTCTCCAAAAAAAGATAAAAAAAAATGACTTCGAAACAGAAGCAATGTGAAGAAAACGGAGGGGGGTTTGAAAAAGAAATGGCAAACAATTGGAAATCATGAATGCATCCCATCTTCACGCTGCTTCTTGACAATGTAATACGTAATCAGGCTCTTCGGATCGTCCTTGATTCCAGCCATGGCCTCCCAGAAAGCAGCCTCCCCAACGCGCGTATGCAGAGCAACACAGAACTTGACAGCGTCCATGCGAACGCCCGAATCGGCCGACTCAAGACACCGGCCCGCCAGGTTGGTGAGCTGCAAGAGCTCCTTGTGAGTGGGGATGTACTCGGGTCGCTTGGCCAGCATCTCCTTGAGGACGTGAAGGCCCATGCTGAGAGTGCGGCAGCCTTCCGTTGTGGCATCGCTGCAGGACTGTAGGCGCTTCGTGAGCACGACGACAGTCTCGGAGCCGTCGCTGAGGATGACAAGCTCATCCGCCAGAAGCTCTAGGCCGCTAACCACATGAGCTCTGGTATCGTAGCAGCCGCGGGTCTGCAGAAGGGATTCAAGACCCCGCGAAACATGGGGTTGGAAGTTCCTTCGCTCCTTTTTCAACAGTAGCTTGATTGTTGTGAGAATTTGAGCCTTAACATCCTGAGATTTGCCCGCCGGGAGATCTGCCAGAGGGTCTTCCAAGTATTGGAACAAGCCAACAAGAAGGGCTTCGAATCTCTGGTCAGTGAAGACAGTCTTACTGTCTCGGATCAGAGACTGCAGCTTCCGGAACCCGTGAACCTCCAGAGTCTTTGCTCTAATCTTGTTTATGCCGCTGTCCAAGAGACGGGCGTTCTGTCCGTTCTTCTCCTGGAACTCTACCTCATCCGATAGAGGCGGCAGTGACGGCCTCCGAATGTTGGCAGCATCTTCGTTGATTGGCTTCTCCTCCAACACTGGAGCAGAAGGAAGCGACTGTCTCGAAGTTGGCTCGTCGTCGGTAAAAGGATCTTCGTATACCCTCAGTGTCCGAGAAGGCAACTCAGTACGAGGAGATAGTGGGATTTCGGCGGGGAGGACAGGAGCCGGCGAGGCGCGGGCGAATAATGGCTGTGGCGGGGACTCTAACCTAGGCAAAGCCGACTGCATGCTAGAAAGTGTAGGCACTACCAAGGTAAGATCGTCAGTTGCTCTGGTCGGACTCAATGTATGCAGTATGGTTTGAGAATGCCTGAGTCTGGCTGGGCTGGCGCGTGGCGACGGTATCCCAGTTGGCCTCATGATTGGGGATGTAATACTTGATTCGCTTGCATGAGATGCATGATGGGTCCGTGATGATGGCCTTTGGGGCGTGGTCTCTCTGACCCTCTCGGGCCTTGTCGACGACGCTGACGATGAGGACGCGAATTTGGACTTGGGCATCTCTGGGCTATGGGCCTCCACAGGCGACGGCTGGTCTCGAACGGAGTAAGGGCCAGCCGTTGCAGGGCGGGCCACATCTGGCCGCCTCTTGGCTGGCCGCATAGGGGCCACGGACATGCCGCCTGCGTTGACTGAAACTGTACCAGGCTCGGCTCGGTGTCGTTTTGACGCAGTCGTTGGGGCAAGTTGGCTGCTCGAGTTGTTAGAAGAGGCGGCAGAAAATGTGGACATGGCAGAGCCAGGTCGGCTTGGTATGCTCCTTGCGCTCAGCGCGGCCTTCTTCTGAGCCATCAAAGTTTCCCGTAGACTTGGCTTGCTGCTGGCCGCATTGGCGCTCCTCGAGAATCCTGACCCCAACCTGGATACAGGAGCCGGAGCCTCTACTTTCTTTCCAGCGTTCGGATTATTTGGATCCCTAAGGAGCAGCTTTTGGGCAGTCGGTTCCAAGTCCGCCATAAATCTGTTGCGCGTTAGAATGAACTTGTTGGACCCAGAATGACAAGGCAGAGAAATACTTACGCATCTGCTCTCCCTGGCCATACGCCCCAGTATGTCCAATAGGTCGCTCTCATCTTTTCTCTGACGCCAGGGTTAGCATCACCAAGAGACTTCTTGATACACTTTTCTATCAAGTCGACACCGCCAGAATGCTCGATATGGTTTTTGTGATGAGCTTCCTTCCTTATTAATATTGTTAACCATCCGGCGGCGTATGTTCGAGGCTGCACGTTCTTGTCTTGAACCGCCCCCCAAATGTGCTGCATGAGACGAGGAGTGTATGTGACCTTGCTTAAGATGGCGTCTATAACAGCATTGGCCATTTGAGAGGTAATCTTCTTGGTATTGGCAGACAGTTTCATAAACGTTTGCATGAGAAGCTCGACCAGAGGGTCCATAGCGGGCCCGAACGCGTTGGCAATTTCCTGGACTAAGCTGCAGCCTTCTTTTGACAAGCTTGTACGCAACGAGCTGGCGGCCTTGATGATGCCGTCCAGCAATACCTTTAATCCAGCGGCAAATGTGTCCAAAAAGTCAGCCGGAGCATTGCCAGCCACCAACCTCCGTAATGTAACAATGCTCTGCTCTCTCTTCATCCAATTTTGTTCAGATTCCTTTCCTTCAAAGTAAGGAGCCATATCCCTGAAGAGATCGTCCAATTCGCGATGGGTATTAACGTATTGCGGTTCAACGGATTCGGCCAGATCGACCATGGGTGTAGTGGGTCGCTCACTCGCGGCAAAGGACGAAGGAGCTGATAGTGCAGGTCGAGCCGAAACTTCTGGCGCGGTATCTGAGCGGGCACCAGTGGGCGCAAGGGATTTCACGATGGCCTGCTCGATGGCAGGTCGAACCTTGAAGTTCTTTAGTTGTTTTTTCAAATCGGTTTTCGCAGCTCCAGGAGCATTCCTAGACACTTGGATCAGCCCAGTTTCAATGTACGCGAGGGGTTAGGAGATGGAAAAGAAGCCCAGAACTTACTTGAAGAGTTCGATAACGGTGCTTTTAGCAGTGTCTCGGACCATTCCGTCCGCATCTTCCAGAAGATCCATCAGTACGGGGACATATCCTCGAAACGGCAATCCGTGTTGCTGGTGAGTCTAGAGCACAGTTAGTCCACCATTTTCCTCACAAAACAAATCCCGGCACCCGAGCCTACCTCCAAAAGCCACTGCATAGACGCCTCCTTGGCTCTCGGATTCTTGCCCACCATGGCGGTGTTTCGAATCGAGCGCTCAACGTCGGCTGGGGCAACGCTGTACAGCGTGTTGAGGCTCAGCATCGCAAGCGCGCGAGGCTTGTCCTTTGAATCTCCCAGCTTCTCCACGACGAGAGGGAGCGTTCGCGCCGCCTCCTTGGCCAGATGTTTGGGCTCCTGGCGCGACATGCGCGTAAAGAGGTGATTGAGCGCTGTGAAGCCGGCGGTGGCCAGCGCGACATGCTGCGACGCGGAGGCGCTCCGGAGGCCTTCGAACAGCTGCGGGATACAGGTCTCGGGGACATTGTGCTGTTTGATGCCGGACTTGATGGTGTTGACGTACTGAACTTTGGTGTCGAGGTGGATGTTGTCGCTTCGCAAGACGGTCGTCAGGTTGGCGACCTGGTCGTCGGTAAGCTTTTCGGCCATGATGCTCGATGGGAGAGCGAGTCTCCTGCTATATGAAGCGCACTTTTGTTAGGAACTCTTCTGCGGCGCAAAGTGTAGAAGCCTGCTGTGAGTAGTGTGTGCGAAAGAAGCGCTCGCAGCAGCACAGCGTCGTGCGATGCAGCCAAATAGCCTCGTCGTAATGCAGCGCATCGGGCATGCGCAAATATGGAGTAGTGAATTCCTATTACTCACAGCGATGGCGGTTGTAACTTGAGCTCCCGTCCGATCTTATATCCTCTCTCTTCTTTTTTTCCTTCTTTTTGTCGCTGTGCTTCTTATTCTCTTCGCGCTCTAGTTTCTTCTGTCGTTTCGTAAATATCGACGTCTCAGGCAGTGCATGCGCGGGCTTGCTCAGAATCAATATCGCATTTGGAGGGGCAGCAAAAACGAATTAATAATTCGCCCTTCTTTTCCTTTCCTCCCCTTTTCTTCTTCCCCTTCCTCTTTTCTTCTTTCTTCTATCGGCTTCTGCTCTTGTCGTCCTCTATTTTGCGGGCGCGGCGCGTGTGTTGATATTGTCGTCGGTGAGAGGGGGCAGGAAAGATAGCGTGAGTGTGTGTGGAGTTTTGTGTTGTGTTTTCATTTCCAGCCCAAAACAAAAGAAAGGAAAATAATCAGGAGTGGATGATTCATTGCGGCGTGACGTGACCAATGCCTGTTGCCCCGGTCGCCAGTGCGCCACATGTGGCTGGAATCTGCTGGGAGCTTGGATCCTGAGGCGGTCTGTGCGGCAGAATTGGCTATTGCGCGTGGGGATTCTTAGTGGACTTGCTAGGAAGTTACAGTGGATGCAGTAGCGCTATGCCCCTGAGAACAGCACGGAGAAGGCTGCTGCACCGTGGCTTAGCACGCTTTAGACCCCTAGGACTAGGGTCCCCTACCCCGCCATCACCGTCGAGGCCTCTGAGTGCTGCCTGCCCCGCGAGCTCAGCTCCCAGGGTCAACTTGGCCGTGATAAAGAGTCGTGAGGATAAGCTGAGCTGGTACATGGTATTGCTCCTTGCTGGAAGCGTTGAATTGCTGCTTTTTCCGCCGCCATTTGTAACTTTCACCCGCATTTAGCCAGCTCTTTTGTCGCCGTTTATTGATATTGATCCATCTCCTTTTACAACTCATCTCAGAGCAGACTTGGACGAACAAATATTGAACATTGACACCATGGTTCGACTGCCAGAGCCCACGCCCGTTCCTCCCAACGTTCACATAAACGGCACAAGCAGCCATTCAGAGGAAGACGAGAATGCCAGCAAAGAGAGATTCTCAGTTCCCGCTCTCCAGCTTCAAATCCAGGACCTCAAGCATCCCGGAGCAACACGTTTCCTCAACGCCGTCAACGCAACCGACAGCTTGACCACCGGCACCCTGAATCTCCTCAAGCTCCTATATCGCAAACCCTCTGACGCAGAGACGACAGTCCCGCCAACCAGCTCCGTGACACTCATCCTAGAAAACTTCCCCGGCGTGGCCTACACCGTGGGCTCCGGCGCAGACAACAACGTAAAGGAGATTCACTTCTCACTGCCGTACATTGCCCAAATCAACCCTTCTCGCATAGCCGAGGAAATCGACGGCGTAATCACGCACGAGCTCGTCCACTGCTTCCAGTACAACGGCCACGGCGCTGCGCCAGGTGGTCTCATTGAGGGCATCGCAGACTGGGTGCGCCTCCACTGCAATTTGTCTCCTCCGCATTGGAAGCAGGAGGTTACAGAGAATTGGGACGCCGGATATCAGCACACGGCTTACTTCTTGGAGTTTCTGGAGCAGCGCTTTGGCCGCGGTACTGTTCGCCGGATTAACGAAAAGTTAAGAGGAAGCAAATATCACGAGCGGGATTTCTGGATGGAGCTTTTTGGTCAAGAGGTTGAAGAGTTGTTTACAGAGTACACACAATCACTACAATAGTGACTACAGTCAGATGTTGGAGGGCTATCTAGAGAAAGACAAGTGCATCATGTAAACGGATGCTAAAGATACGAGGAGCATATAAAGACGAGATGAAGAGAAGAGCTAATAGATTTTTGCCTTTATTCTGATTTCTCTGACAGCGAAATGATATTTCTTTTATAAAGAGCGCAATAGGACACCAAAATCTCTGCATATATACATATCGGCCATTAGGTGCCACAGCAGGTGTATATTCCTCAAAAATCAATAACAGCAAAGGGGATCAAGGTATTGAATACGCATCCCGTAAAACGACAGAGGGGCTACCAGCAGTAGTGTGTCAAGTCTCATTAAACACCGTGCCTGAGCGCCAAAAAAAAATCAACGCCGTCCCAAGTAGTATATTCCAAAAAGAAAAAGAAAAAAAACATAACAAACATCAAGAAAAAGTAAAAAGGTAAAAGCTCCAAGGTTGGGCTCTTCTATATGTAGGCAGGTCCCAACAATGCATTGGCCAGGTCATACTTTACGCTTATGCGTGCATTGGGCCGTCGTTCTCGCTGATGACGCTACCCACCTCGGACCAGCTGGCCGGGGTGGCCATGCCCTCGCTCTCACTCATCACATCCATGTACCGCGAGCTTCCGTCATGGTCAGAAAAGTGAGCATCATTGGCAATATCCTCACCAGATCCAGCAAGGGAGACGGAGTCGGTAGGAGTAAGCTCTCCCTCGGAGATGATATCCGGCTCGGACATTGGTGCTACAGGGGTCACGGGAAGGGGAGAGTAAAAGTCACGGCTCGATTCCTGGGCCCAAGCCTGAATGTTGGCATGAACATCGTGGCGGTCTTCCTGGCCGGCGGACATGAACTCGTCTTCTGAAAGCTCTCGCTCAAGAGTGGACGGCAGTGGTGATTGTGATGGGGCAGACAGCTGAGCAATTTCAATCAACGGCCGGGGTGAGACGGCTTCCAATGTGACGGAACGAGACTCTTCATGGCCATCACGAGTAGTTGCGCTGTAAATGTCTGACATGATCTCGCTCTGGTCCGGAGCAAGCTGGCGGGCTAGCTGGGCCTCTTGGATCTCATCCGAGTCAATGTGGTGCTCATCGGCAAAGGGATTGGAGTAGGCTGGCGACATCAAGCCCCGAGCGCCCTCTCCACGACGGCGAAGACGGCCAAAGTCTCTAAGATCAGCACCGGAATTGAAAACATATGCACCATTCTCAGCAGTCGCGTCAGGCTTGAGGAAATCGTCAAAGGTAGATCCGCGGTGCAGTTTACCGGGCCGAGGCGGCGGGTCAGACGAGTTTTGTGGCGTCTTGTCCTTTTCGTTTTCCTGCTGCTGTAACCGCATCGAGTTCCAGTAGAGAAGCTCCTCTCGCTGCCTGCGGCGGGTTTCGTCATCGGCATCGACGCCAGGCTCAGCTCCTTGGCCACGCCGAGACTCGAAGAAGCCCTCGGCGTCCTCGGGCCTGTTGAAGCGGGGCTGCCTGGCCGGCGGAGTGATGCCGTCGCCCATCGAGTAGAAGGCCATGGCGACGCGGCGTCGGACGTCGTCTGCGTACTGGCGCAGCTCGGGCGACTCGTAGATGGCGATGAAGGTAGCCACGGCCATGGACACTGCGACGACAGCGCCTGAGGCGAGGACCATGTGGTGCGCCACGGGCATGATGGCGGTTGCAGGGCGGGTTTTTATGTGTCTGGTGTACGAGGCAGGTTTGGAATGCCAGCGAGGTGAGGCGGGAGGGGCAGCTCAGCAAACGGGCAAACGGGCGGCTAAGGGCTCAGGCAACAGAAACAGAGCCTGAAGGGAGCTGCTGACTTGGGACTGAAATGCCGGTCAACCAGCCAGCCGCTGCAACTCTATAGACGCTGCAGGCGGGCGCAAGGGAGGCAAATGAGCGGCAGGTCTCGTGTCTTGTCTTCTATCCCTCTGAATTCCCTCGCAAAGAGAAGACAAAGGTTGAGGAAGAGGGGAGAGAGAAGAAAGTGAAGGTGACGAAAAGCTGGCAAAGCCACAGGGAGGCCTTCAAAAAGCCAGCCTCAGGTTGGCGACGCCACACGGCGATTGCGTAGTCCTGGCGGAAGCTTTGCCACCATTCCTCGATCTTGGCGAGGCGTACTCGTAACGCCATGCGCGGCCCGGTCGGCGCCTACGTGCATGTACTCGATACCTCGGCGGCGTCACATGACCGACCTGTCGTGACAACGCATCGGTTCATCGCTGGATGCAGGAGACTTTGCCCGATTCCACACCAAACCCCAACAATGCGCAAATTGTCGGTCCTGACGCGACGTGTTGAGCGCCAGATGGCACCCGTGATGTGTCAAGCGCAAAGAGATGCCATCTGGCAGCAATATGCAAGGCCGACTCAGCTAGCGCCAGCAGGGCCGCACTAACAGCCGTAGGCGTCATGTACGACGATGGGGTCGTCTCAAAGAGGAGATGCCATCTCACCATATTTGATACACGAAAGAACAAGAGCCGAGTTATTGGAGGATAGAATCTGATAGGATCTGGGTATAACGTAGGGCACGCAACGCCCAGTATCATGGACCAATGAGCCGAGGCAGGGATGGCCAGCACCAACATCCTACAGCATGCCGCGCGTATAGACTACCGAGTGCTGTATTCCACCTGGATGGACAACAGCCCAAACTGGACACCGAACAAGTGAAACGCCACGAGTTTGCCAAACATTAAGAGATGAAGAATATCGCGCACAGAGTTCGAGTACCCATGACACCGAGATGAAACCGGCGACACCTATATGTATTAGATATCAAATCGCGACGATGCGGCGCACCTCTGCAATCCGTCACGCGAGCCTCCGATTAAGCAGTCCAAATGACCGTGTAAGACCAGCGGGCTGATATGAATGAACTTGTATCAAATATGGATGATTTGTAGCAACAGCCAGCTTGGGACGCCGAAATCTAAAATCCAAGGCAAACAACTATTTCCAATCACTAAAGCATTCACGCTCATATAACTCCTACCACCCAAATAAGGTGGTCAAACCCAAACCGAACGCTCCACAATATTTTATCCAAGGCGGAATAACTTGATCGACCCAGGAGTACGAAAGTCTTTTCTAATGGCCATGATGCACTCGTCGCTTCATGTCCAACACCAAGAGACAATCTGGTGGCCGAAAAGAAGATTTCTTCTATTTTCGCCGCACATGCATCTTCTCTTTAGTCTCGCCTTACTTTGACTCTGTTGTAGAAGAGTTGCTAGAGTCGACGGAATCGGTAGAATCGGTGCGTAGAGCCTTGATGCGCTCGCTGTGCCTCATGTTAGCAATTGACATCCAGAAACAGCAGCATTGGGTTCAATTATACATACTACTGGGAGCGATCCTGAAGAGTGCATTCCCAACGAGCACCGCCTGTCTTGATCTGGAACTTGATGCCCTTGTTGTTGCCCAGGCTGGAGGGAGCGGCAGAGGCTACGGCCGCAGCAGGGGGTGCAGAGGAAGTAGAAGGCATTTTAGGAGGGAGAATTGGTGGTTGTGGTTAAGAGGTTTTGGTTTGATTTAGAGTGGAAGAATTGGAATAGATTGCGAGAGTGAGAACGAGGTGTTGAAGAGGTGAGAAGAAAAAAAGGGAAGCAAACGACCATGCGTGGGCAGACAGGGGAAGCTTTATAGATGCCCGGTCTATATAAAAGAAAATGCGGGAACCGAGATCCAGCGATCAGCTCGACCCAACCGTTGCAACGGCGCCACCACAGAATCCTTCAGCTAGTCACAAGCATGCAGCAGTATTTTTATTACTGTTGATTCATGTGGGTAAATTGTTCTTCCTTACTTGCTCAACTATTGTGACTCTGTTTACTACGGCGATCAATGCAAAGCTTGCCTTGCATAGAAAGAAGACAAAATGAGTGACAATGGCCAGAGGGGGAGAATAGGAGACTACAGATTATCCATAAGATTGGTTTCCAAATAAAGACTCTGACCCGCAATCTCAGATTCGGGAATTTGGGGGTTTCCCCAGGACTCTGCATGTGCTAGTTGAGCTATTTAATTTCACGATACCCTTACATGTCGTACCTACTGGGGAATGGCTGGAGCTTGTGTATGGAGCCATGTAAGTGTGTGTGTGAGCCGAGCTGAGAATGGGGGCGGCTCCGTAATAGGAATTACACATTGATTTATGCTTCTTGTTTTGTTCTTATTCTTTTTCTCTTCTTGAATAATGCCATCTAGAGAATCTGAAAGGACAAATCCCGTTACTATTCAATATGAAAACCAAGGCATGTGGTATCGCTGCTCTGGGCATTGTCTTCGTTGCAGAGCAGCCCCACGGTATCACAGACACACAGACTGATATTAGAGTGTTTAGGTGCTTCTTGTATTGACTACGCATGCTATCATTGTTTCACAGCATCCATCAACTAGTGCCGTACGAAGCATGACGGAGCATATGCAGAGCTTGACCGAGTTCTAAAAAAGGCAGAGCCAACTTTTTGGTCGGCAAAAGCGGGCAGTGGAGTTGGCCCGGGAATCCTTTACCGCCGGAAAATTGACAAGATGACGATCATCACTGATCAATATCTAAAGAGGTGGAGATGGCAGATCAATGCAATGTCAAGGCAGTATGAATGAATGAATATAGGATCTGCTTCTTGTTGAGTAGGAAGATATTAGAAGAAGAAGAAAGGTTATGCCTGTCAATGAGTAGCATCCACGTACGCTTTTCTTGGCATCTCTGCAGCGAAGTCTTCTAGAAGCCGCCAAGCCTGCACATAATCAATAAGTCACTTTAAAGAGTCCCTCCATCTTCGCCGCAATCATAAATTCCCTAGTCTTGGCGGTTACATTTTGCAATGGACAAATCCTTCCAACGGTTCTCTGCATTAGCTAGTCTTGTCTAGCTCGTTCTGTTGAAAATCCCCTCTGCTTCCTTCTTCTATCTCTCCAATTAGCCCCCAACAGGCATCCGAGTCAGACTACCACCATTTCATCTCCAATCCTGCCCCCACACACTTGAGGCCCCGCGATGACGAGGAGGATTTGGACCAGAAGTGAAGAAAAATTGTGCTCAATTATTTTGACTGAAATCGCGTATTTGGCCGGAAGCTAATTGGCGTGCCTTCATCCTTCACAGCTGCAAGTATTATCCAGTCCCAAGGCATTCCGAGGTTTCATCCGCAGAGCATACTGCTAGTTTGCCTTTGAGGCGAAGTGGTGTCTCGCCATGCTCTGCTTGTATCAGCTAGAAATTAGCCGTCCCCGAAAGCGCAGTCATCGTGCAGTAGTTTGCTTTCCAGTGCCGTTTTGTGTAAACAAGAGGCTGCTGGTAGTTTGTGAGGTTGCCGCTCTCCCAGCAGCACACAGCATAAGTGTTCGAGGTCGAGACCTAGTCTCATCCCCTCAGGATATCACTCAAGCCCGCCCTTTCGTCAGTAAACAGATGCCTCGTGGGAGCTGGAAAAAGAATCCCGCGAGGTACTAGTTCGCATAACTGGGCGATAACAGGGCAAATCGTGAAATCCAGAGGCTCTTTAGCTGCAAGAAATCCTTCCATCCTGCGTCTTATTCGCCTTCAGCCTGGCTGGTCTAGATTTGCCAGAGTCTCACCGAGGCAGATGAATCTGGAGAGTCAGGTGGCACCTCCAAGTCAACGGAAGCATCCATTTCAGTTACTCGCGTGGGTCCTGCCCCGAAGCTCTGTAATGAGCTTGCTTGCTGTCTCATCGGCTGTCCATCATTCGCATAACTTCATCTTCCTCATCCACGGCTGCCGTATCTCCGCCGTCGACACGTAGCCCCCTCTTCTTTAATTCGTCTTCAATCAAGCTTCTCGTTAACATCTTGCTTCCAAAGCTCGGAATGTCATCCTTGAGCTTCTGCATCCATCCCTCCACGCTGCGCATGGCAACCACCAGAAATCCCAGCTCTTCGCGGTCAACATCGAATACCTCCCACCACTCGTGCTCCGGCATCTTGGCGCCCAAGTCGCGCGCTGCATTGTATATCGCCGCCGTGGCCAAAGCGTGCGGCTGGTGAGTGACGTAGAGCATCTGTGGCGATAGCAGAGCCGTGTTGAGGTATTGAAGTACGCGCAGAGAGACTGTTGTTCGTGGCTGCGATAGGAAGTCCAGTGTCTGGAGGTACGTAATGGCCAGCGGGTGTGGAAGAGCGACGTGAGTATCAAACGACAGTGACCGAAGAATGCGAGCTTCCAAGCTCAACATGCGCTGCTGGAAAGCGTAATAGTCCGCTTCTGATTGGTAGTATGTCCGCGGATCGTTCTTTGGTGGCTCGTCTGTAGGAAAGAGTTGCGAATTGGCAGATGCCAGATACGCGTAGACGTTGGAGACATCCCGCGGGGAGCGAGGAATCGGCCCCAGCTTTGAGACGAGGTATATCGTAGCAGCCGATACGTCCTGTTACACACCACGGTTAGCAAGAATGGCTTCAGCCGCCCATCTATCAGAAAGGTCACCCACGCTGAATTCATGGGCCATGGGCGAGTCCACCACCCAGTACCGCGCCAAAACAACATTGGCTTGCGCCGTCACCGACTGCGGCAGCTGCAAGAGTCTGCCGGCGGCCTGGGTCAGGCATTGCGTCGCAACGAAGACGGCCTCGTGGAGATCCTGCGGCAGCGACGAGGCTGATGCGCGCTGGTAGAGCTGCGAGGGCGTCGCCAGCGGATTGGCGAAGAGGCTCATTGCTGCCAAGGTTGTGGCGATCTTCTGGCCGTTAATCCCGTTGTACGACCGAGGTGGGATGCCCGTCTGACGCGACGAGACGCGAGCTGTGGAAAAGATTAGATGATTGAGCTCGGTGAGGCAGGAAACTTTTGAGGTGAAGTCCGGCGACCCACCACAGCTGCTCCGGATTTAGTGCGATGATACCGGCGTCTACATGGGTACATGGACGTAAATCTGCGGTCTCCAATATTCACCTTTGACAACTAGAAAGAGATGTAGGTTGGCATGAGTGCTATTACGAGGGCGTTTAGGCTGCAGCTTTGTCATGGAATTAAGAAGAAGAAGAAAAAAAAAAAACTCTGCGCTGTTATAAAAACTCGTATGTGCGCTCATGCGCTTGCAAAGGTCCCAAGACCTACATGTTTCAATTCCATCACTGGCACAAATCATATTAGTAATTGGAGGTTAGGAGATAGGCCTCTTGTATATAGATCGAGATGGTAAAAGGTTTAATAATCCTTTAGGCTGTACAGAGTAATTCACTACAGAAGTAGCTCTTCATCATTTCACGACAGCTAACCTATCTAGCTTGAGGCAGCCGTTGAGTAAGTGGCGATGCAATGGGTGTCCATACGGTAGGTATTATTGACTGTGGCTAAGAGAAGAAGCGCCATCTCGCCTATATCTCCTCTTTCATTCTCTGGCCCAGCCGTCGGCTTTGCGCCATCCGAAAGTCAGCCACAGGTCGGCTTTACTTTAGTCTTGGTGAAATCCGGATGTGATAAAGAAAGCCCCGAGTTTTTTGCGAGGGCTGAATGCCACGAGACATTTCTCATTGGATATTGGCCTCCAAAGCAAAAGAACCGAACGATTGGCGGCGCCTAAGCACTAGGCTATTAGTCCGAAGCTTGACAACGCTTGTCTTGGAGGCGTGCGGCTGCTCTGAGCCGTTTACTTGCCTGCTAGTACTTCGAGGGAGAGGGCGCGGCTTCAGCCTTATAAGGCCAGAAAACATATGGTGACGGCGTGGCTGAGTTATTGGTGGTGGTAACAAATAGTACGTTTAGTATCGTGATGTGGTGGGAGGAGATTATTCACTGCCGGTATTGCATAATAGGACCTACTGTATAATAGGACCTACTATCACTACTACCTCAACCAAGTCGGAAGGAATGCGAGCTGCAGGGACTTCTGAATCGAGGTGTAGGTGTGCAAGGAAGTGCATAGTATTGGCGTAGGATTCTACCCGATGCTACTATAATCCTTACTGAAGCGTACCTGTTGCCTACTCCGGGTACCTCTTGATTCGGCAGCACTAGGGGCGACATGATCCATGACCAAAAGATAGTTGCTCGAATAGATGATTGCTCTATACGGTATATCTGCTGACTTAATGCCCAATGCGTCCCTAGCAATCCTACTGCAGGCGTATTCGCCTATTCGACTCCAATGGGTAAAGAAACGAGGAAAGCTCCTTTGATATGGTTGTAGACACTGCTTTTGCATGCTGCTTCAGAGCATGATAAGAAAATCATCCATCGGACCGGATGTGCGGCCCTTCATTGAGGATCCTCACCAAGAGGAGCTACGGAAAAAGTGCACAGCAACACCAAAAAAAAAAAAAAAAAAAAACTGCTATTATGCTGTTCTATGGGAGGGCGACTTGAGTCATGGCTGAGCTGCTTCTGGGGCCAGATCTGGGGCTCGCATCAGCGGGAATCCGGATACACGGATCCGGCCAACCTGTGGGCTCCATAACTGGTGAAGCTCTGTTAGCATTATCTTGCTTCTTGTGCTTTAGCAATCAAGATCGCCCCTCCTGTTAAGATAATCTCTTGTCTGATTCTCTCTATCTCGGCTTTATCATCTCATGTACGGATATTCCGGCATGGATAATGGCTCTTGGAACCTCAGGCCAAGATTGATCAGCGTGGTTTTTCCTTTTTACATCTTTGCGCCAATGCCACACGAACCAGCCCACTTTCTGGTTGTTGAGGCGTCCCGGAAACTCGGTTTGGAGAAATACGTCCAGTTGTGGCTCAGGTACATCCGTCGGCTTTTTGACTTGGTATCATGTGCTACTGTGAGTAAGCGGACAATACCTAGTGCGAGGGTGCCGCGCAGTAATTTACAAGTACCTGCCGCTGGCGAATAGAGGCGAGTTGCAGCACACATCCAGTAATGCTCCGTACCGCTGCAAGCCGCTGCACTGCACAGTAAGGAAGGCGCTGCAGCAGCAAAGCAGCAACTACAGTATCAGCACTCGGAGAGATTACGGCAAGTGCAAGGCCAGTCCCTGCTCTGTCTGCCGCGCATTTTTCTTTTCCGATGAATGGCTGCTTTTCCCGTCTTGTGCCAGCTTCATCCTTCTCCACACTCCGGCATCTACATCGCCCAAAACGCCTCAATCGCATGCAACTGTCACAGCACAGCCATCCCTGGCTGCAGGCCCCCTTAACGGCATTGTTGCAACAGCGAAGACACCGATATAGCGCGGTAATCGCAGAGTAGTAATCACGCTGGCTAATCACATGGATCCAACGCCAGTAGTGCCAACGCCTTTGTGCTAGAGCGCGACGGTGTCAGATCAGACTGGCTGCAGGGGATCACGGCAGGCCAAGCTGCCGGCATCGTGCCACAGCTCCTGGGGCTGATCTGCTGGCCCGTTGCACCAGTGAGTCTGTCCTCGTACGCAATGCCATGTGCTGCTCAGGGTTCAAGCTAATGTCCAGGTAGTTGACCCAAAGCTCAGCCCAGCGACAGCCGATGGGATGGGTCACAAACCCAGCCAACTCAAAGTGCCTAGGCTAATACCCAGGCTTAGCAACCTAAGCACCCTCCTCTCCATGGGCTCGATAACCTAGTTCTTGCTAGCACGCCCCTAGCAACGCTACTGGGTATTAGCCAGAATGGCCAAAGCCTCAAGAGATCGCACGACACAAGCCTCTTACTATTCGCTCCGGACCTGCTAGAGTGGCAACCCGCCTCCGTAACGAACCGGAGTTGGGCAGCTGGAGAAAGGAAGAATCAAGTTTTCTAATCGTGAAAACGTAGCATCTTGGACACTCGCTCTTCGTCTCTTAGCCCATCTCATCCAGCTTCTTATTGTTCTTTAGTGTGGCCAGGCGGCTCCGCATTCCGGTCCGGGGGCCATTCTCTCTCCCTTGGTAACTTGGGCTTGGGTCTTTAACGCGAGACGAAAGCGACTCGGCGAGCGGGCGGCAGGAGTGGGCTAGGAAGCATTGAAAGCCGTCGACAGCCCACCTCAACTATACCTGCTGTCAGCATTTAATATTTTGCTTGTCCTGGACAGTTTTCTTGCAATCCCCCGCCAATCTGATCTGGCGACAAATATCCGCTGTCTGCGCAGGGCGGCTCATGCGAAAGGGGAAATAGTAGACACGGTACGGCTCTGGATTTCGACCTCGAGGGTCTACCCGCTTTGCAGAGGGCACAGTCAATCTTGCTGTCGCAACGCCGGAAACTGCTACTTTTCTTCCTCATTTTCGACAACTTATTCCGGCGCATCCCCTTTACCCTGCGTCAGCGTTCGCGCTGATGCCGGCGTCTTTTTCCTTCGTTTTCTTTCACTCTTCTTCAATTTTGCCGTTACGTAACCTCCAAGTCTGAGCTGCACCATATCGCGTATTCCCAGCCAATGTATCGATCATGGCCCCAAAATCCTCTCCCATTCCTTCTGGCGTTGTCCCTCCTATAACGCCGCCGTACGAGTCTGAAGGACCTCCAGCCAAGGAGAAACGAAGGCGGGCCGGAAAGCCCAAGGTTCGGACGGGCTGTGTCACTTGGTACGTTGCGTAATCTTGGCTCGCTTAATCTCACTCAGATACCCCATCCCATGTGCCTTGTGTGTCTTCTTCATGACTACTCGGAACTCTCTTGACTAACAATAGGTAAACAGCAAGTAAGCTAGCGATCCGCCTTTCACCATACACCAAAGGAGAAATCAGAAAATATTTCCTCTGTCAACTATTTGTTTACTTGCCCCTTGCAATTACTGACTCAAGACTGCTGCCATAGAATCAGAAGAATCAAATGCGACGAACAGAAACCGGCGTGCCAGCGATGCATCTCAACAGGTCGAACCTGCGACGGCTACAAGCCTCTTACCAAGCCAAAAGCGACCAGGAAGCCGGGGTTTTCTCAACAGCTTTCAACATCCTCATCTGCCAACTCATCGTCCTCATCGTTGACACTCTTACGGCCTCTGGTGACCAACTTCAGCGGCGACTTGGTAGAGAGCCAGTACATCCAGCAGTTTTTGCCTATGGCGGAGGATTTGGTGGGGATCACACATATTCACAACACCTTCTTCTGGGGGCATGTCGTACCAGAATACTGCTTCACATCGAAAGCAGTGAGGCATGCCATCGTCGCTCTCTCTTCCGCATATCACGATTTTAGGCTTGCCGGATCCAATATTACCATTTTTGGCCCACCATCCAACACCGAGCGCTACATTATCAGACAGTACAACCTCTCATTAAACCGAATGGCCGAAGAGTTGAATGGACTGCCGATGAGAAAACGTTATGGAATCATCATGATATGCTGCGTGTCATTCTTCTATATTGAGATTTTGCGAAAAAACTGGCCAACTGCCATGATGCATCTCGCGAACGGCATTCGCTTGATGTCAAATTTACCTGACGCAGTTCAGGACGTCTTTCGACATCCGGAGATATTCAGTCACGATCGTGATAATTCTCATGCCAGGGCAACCTATATGACCAAGCTACTTCGCCGGTGGGAAGGCTCTGCGGCCTTTATGAGGATCAATTCACCACCGTCACTATCCCTCCAGGCTTACGAGACCAGGAAAAACAGCGTAGGGGGGGCCAGAGAGTTTACTTCGCTGGAGAAACTACAAGAGCATGTTGACGATTTATTCCAGGATGTCAATGCTTTCAGCTGGATGTGCAGACAGTACCGCGGGGACGACAGTTCATGGGATCATGCCGCAGCTCGGTTTCAATTCGATATCCTACACCAGAGGTGCTACCACATCCGAGAGCTACTCAAAAAGGCAAACAAACTTTACGGAGACATGGAGGATTCCGCGAATCCGCGCGACTTTTTGAAATTCATGGGATGTTTGCTTCGCCACCGCGGCGCGTCAATTGCCCTTGATTTTACTCCATTGCCTCAGGGCATGGCGTATACGCCTCCCGACGAAGAAGAGGACAAATTTTTGGAAGTCGCCAGCATCGCGGAGACGATTAATCAAGCGTTACAAGCATCACTGGCGTCTGAGGCACCCGGATCCTCGCCCTGGTTCAACGTGGACTTTGGGGTCGTTACCACGCTCTATATTGCGGCATCAAATTGCTACACCGTCTCCATGAGTGAAAAGCTGTTTAAAATGATGATAAACTGGCCCTGGCGAGAGGACTTGTGGGACGGTGCGGAATTGAGGCGACAGCTATATGACCTCAGGAAACCGATTGTCGAAGTCCCAACGGCAACAACACCCGACTCAGAAACACCAGTTCCGACGACACCACATCTCATAAAATTAGCGCATCGGCCACCGTCCCGAGCAGCAGTGACAACGCCATCATCTGACGAGGATTGATCGATGCACGTTTTTTCTCACACTTCCACGCCCTTTGCTTTTACCCTCCCTCTCCTGCTTTCACCATTCTCGATTTTTTCCTTTCCTTTCCTTTCTTTTCTTTCTTCCTACAATTTGGCTACAACAGACACGGACACGTTGAAATCGAAACTTGGCATTACGGCGCAATCGGCAAACGGCTTGGAAGCAAAAACTCTTATCGCTGCAAACGAGTTTAGTGCTATGGTTTTTCTAGACATGAGCAGCGGTTTCCTCTCTATTCTCATATTTTCCTTTTGCTCATCACCCTCTACTTCTAATCACTAGGAATAAAGATTCTGTTCGAAATTGATCACTACGGACGTTGAGGAAGGAAGGCGATATTTTGCATATATATTCATAAAGAGGTGGGAGAAGTTGATACCGGTTGATGTATATTGTATCACATCGAGTGATAACAATGTCTTGCTTGGGCAAGCAGCTTTACGCAGCCATTTTTTTACTCGTCATATTTCTACATCTTTAAGAGATGGTGTAAACAGCAGCAGGGTCAATCGCCCTGCTATGCAACTCTATATATACATTTTGACGAATATATACCTACCTAGTACATACACTCTACCTGCCTTTGCTGGGCAGCAAGGTGAAAAAAAAAAATTTATCCAGTATCCCAGCACTCGGCTCTATCTTAATAGAGCAGTTGGTCTATATGTAAATTCCATGTCTAACTAGGTATTATATACACCTAGCAGCAGTAGCAGTTATAGTTGGAGTGATGACAGAATTGGGATGCTGAATCACTTCTCCCAAGAAAATGATACAAATGCAAAAAGTAGGTCTCGGAGGGAATCGAACCCTCGCTGGCGGAATCAGAATCCGCAGTCATAACCATTAGACCACGAAACCCATTGGTGGAGATGATTTTAATATTGGATATAAAGGCTTCTGCGGAGCTTTGAGAAAATTTTCAACCGTGAGGTCTGGTTGTTGAGTGTCCGGGGCACGAAGTCAAGGTTTTGAACCCTTTATGGCCAAAGTGGGCTAGACTGACTCGCAGTGGAGACTCGGGGTACGTACCTTTGAGCCCCGCCAAGTGACCTCGAGCTTCAATCGGGACCAGCTCTGGCTCAGATAAACTTTCCAATTGCATCCAGATTCACATGCCATACTTGGCCATTGCCTCTGCAGATTTCGTACCCACCAATCCCACAGCTCGAGCAACACAATTGTAGTGGCGAAGCATCTTGTCGCAGTCTTTCAAAGTAGTAGATACAACGACGTGATACCTCTTTGCTCTATTGATTGGGCTTTTCTCCCCCGAAAAGATCATGACAACCTCCATCCCACAGTCCCCCACCGACGACGACAACAAGTCCTTTGACCTGAACCTGCAGCACGGCCACAAGGATCTGGTGCAGGCGATTGCGTTCAACGCGTACGGCGACCGATGTGCGACGGGGTCAGTGGATGGCAAGATCCGCGTCTTCAACCGGCACAAGGATGCGACGTGGAGGCTGTGTGATTCGTGGAGCGCGCATGGAGGAGAAGTTTTAGAGGTTTGTTTGCTTGCTATACAGGCTATCCGGGAATCAATAACAAGAATCGGACAACTAACTGTATGCGTAGCTGCAATGGCTGCCGTCCACGATATACCCCAACCTCATAGCTTCTCTCGGCATCGAGGGCTGGTTCCGCCTCTGGGCTGAGAACCCTTCTGCTGCGCCTGGCCGCCGCTTCTGCGCTGCGCGGTCTGTCAATGGCCGACCAGCCTTTGACACTCGGTCGGCGCGGTCGCCATACCGGTCCTTTTCGATGAAGCACAACGAGGAGACGAGGCAGACGTATCTGGCTCTCCTAGCAACCGACGGGCGGCTGACGGTGTACGAAAACGACCAGCCCGAGAATCTAGCAGAGTACACATCCATTGACGAATTCACGATATGCCCCAAGCCGAGCCGCGGCGAAGAGGTGTCCTTCAAGGTGCGCTTCGACCCGAACCCGGAGCCCTGCTACACGGCGCTGAGGGCGGGCGTGCCCTCGGATGCGCTGGGGCTGGTGGTGGCGGGCATGAACTCGGTGAAGGTGTACCGCTCGAGGGAGATTGCGTCGGCGAGCTTCGGCGCCAACACGCTGCAAAAGGAATTCTACCTGGCCGTCGAGATTACGGGCCATAGGGGGCTGGTGCGGGACGTGGCGTGGGCGCCGGGCAACATCAGGGGCTACGACATGATTGCCACGGCGTGCCAGGACGGGTATGCCAGGGTTTTCCGCATCGACACGCCGTACTCGGATAACGACGGGCGGTCGTGGGCGGCGTCGCATCTGCTGAAGCCGGATGGGCGTGCGCAGCAGCATAGGGAGGCGTCGCCTACCACGACGACTTCTGCAAAGGAGGACAAGGAGAGCAATACGCCGGGGTCCAGCTCGAACCCCAACAACAATCATTACAACAACAACGGCGGAAACAATAACAACAACAACGGCAGCAGCAGCAACGTGCCTCATCACCACCACCAGCCGTCGTCAACTCTCAGCGCCAGCCTCGCCAAGTCGAGCAACGTCGGCGAGCGCCAGTGGACAGGCCAGCCGGGGCAGATCCCGCACGTGGCGCAGGAAGTCTCGCGGCTGGACAGCCACCGGACGCCGGTGTGGCGCGTGGGGTTTGACGACGACGGGCAGATTCTGGGGAGCACGGGGGATGATGGGCGGTTGCTGTGTTATCGCCAGATGCCGGATGGGCTGTGGGCCAAGAGCAGTGAGTTGGTGATGATGAAGACGAGGATGGCGACGCCGTGAAATTGAATTTAGGAATGAGATGGGATGGCGGGAATGTGCGTTTTTTTTTTTTTCTTTTTTTTAGTAAATGACGAGGTTTTTATTTGGGGGAGTTTTTGGCGAATAAGAAATAGATTATAGTTTAATACCATTAACGAGATTTTATGAGAGGGAGGTGGTTTCAGATAGCCTGATGGTTTTTATCGGGGTATATAGTATGCTTATGATTTGAGAGCTGTTTTGCGTTTTGATACCCTCCATGTTCAGGGAGCAGAGTGGTGACGACTACTACTACCTAATTCAATGTCAACAATGAGACTACAAAATTAAGATGGATCCAAATACTACTTCATTACACAAGTCTTCACAAGTCAAGAACGTCAAATGATTATATCAGAATGTATAATATATTTATGATTTGAGAGTCTTCTCTTTTCCACTTCTGCAGTGTTTACTCTGTAAATAAAAACGCCCCTGATTTGTCCGGTCTCAATTTAATGTCTACCGGATCCCCTTTAAAATATTTCATTTCCCTTTCAAACGCCAATTCATGATAAATTTTTTCCATCAAGAGTTTGGTAGTGACTGTTATCGAAAAAGTAACCCAGCTGTAGTATATGCAGGGTAATGCAGGTAGAAAAGGAAACTAGTAGAAATTTCCCCTACCCCTCACCGCTTTGTATATAAAACTCCAAGTGGACTTTTCAACTCTAATCCTTGATAAAACTCTGTTTGCATTTTCCCTTCATCTCATGCGTCCACTAATTTAAGCAGCGTCGGCGCTGGCCACGGGCTGAACAACCTTGGTGACCTGGGAACCGGCACGCACGATGCGCTGGCCAGCAGAGTCATTGACATAGGTAACGTCCTTGTTCTCAAACTGGGCGCGCTTCCAGATCTCGACTTCGCAGCCACCGCGGAGGACGCCGACTCGCATGGTGGAGAGCAGGTTGTGGGCGGCGTTGGAGTGGAGGTAGACACCGCCGTTGAAGATGGCCGTGGCGTCCTTGCCGATGGCGGAGGAGATGAGGGCCTTGCCACCGGGGTGGTCCTTGATGAAGTCGGTAACGTCGTGGATGACACCGGCAATGGCAACGAGGGCCTTGCCGTTCTTGGACTGAGAGACAAAGTCGTCCCAGTCGACGACGGGGAGCTGCTCGAGGGGAGTGCCCCAGTCGAGGGTGGAACGCTTCTGGTCGAGCTTCTTCTGGAGCTGCTGGACACGGCCCTTTTCAATCTCGTTGGAGCGGAACTGCTTCAGGTCGTAGGCGAGGCCGGTGAACTTCCACAGGGCAATCATCCACTTTGTGGGGTCGTACTGCCACCACTCAATGGCGTTTCGGTAGTCTGAGGGGAACTCGTGGTGGAAGTTGTGGTAGCCCTCACCGAGAGTGACGAGAGCGGTGACGATGTGGTCACGGGGTGAGTTGCGGTCATCAAAGGGCTGGTCGCCGAGCCAGTGGGCGAGGGAGTTTACGCAAAAGGTGGCCTGCTGGACGAAGCAGATGCGGAGGATGCCGGCGTAGACGAAGCCGCCGAGGAAGTCGTTGAACATGAGGCCGCAGAAGAGGGTGGGGAAGACGAGGCCCATGAAGATGACGCACTTGAGGTAGTTGCGGTGCTGCCAGACAACGATGCTGTCCTCGTTGAGGTCGGTGATGTCAGTGCGGCCAATTCGCTTGGGGTTCTGCTTCATGACCATCCAGCCGATGTGGGAGTACAGGAGGCCCTTGCGGACGGAGTAGGGGTCCTTGTCGGTGTCGGTGTATCGGTGGTGAGAGCGGTGGCCTCTTGACCACCAGCGGATGGAGCCTTCGACGGCGCCAGCACCGACAGCGGCAAGGTAGATTCTGAGGGGGAGAGTGGCCTTGTATGAGGAGTGAGCCCAGAGACGGTGGTAGCCTTGTATGAGTAAGTAAGTGAATTCCTTGATAGTCAAATGAGCCTTCCGACTTACCAGCTGTGATTCCTAGACCAGTGTTGAAGTAGTAGATGACGGAGAAGATGGCCGTGGCCAGCTTGAGAGGCACCCAGTAGGCGGAGACGAAGCCCAGCAGGGGGATGAAGACGATGAAGGTGGTGTTGAGCCAGTTGACGTGCTTGTACCAGTTCCCCCAGGTCATGGGCGTCTCTGAGATGTGCACCTTTTTGAGGTCGTATTTGCCGCTGGCGCGCAGAGGCACGTAGTCGGTGGTGCCATCAGGGAAGGCCGACGCCTGGGCCTTTGAGGCCGCGGCGGAAGATTCTGACATTTTTGTTGCTGCTCTGATATTGAACAAGTCTTATCAAGGCTGGACACAGAAGGAAAAGAGAAGAGGAAGAGATGTCGAGAATGAGAGCGAAAAAAAGGTGTTATAAAAAGAAACCAAGTCCCGGGGGAGGGAGAGGGACAGGGGGATGAGATGGAGAGGGAGGGGTGAGAAGAGTGAAAAGAAGTGAGGAGCTCTTTTCGTGTTGTGTTGTGTTGTGGAGGGTGTGTGAGATGGGGAGCTCTCTGTCTCTTATATCAAGATGCCCTTGAGGGGGGGCGTTTGATCAACAGGGCCTGTGGAAAGCTGAGAATCAGGGCAGGCCAGGCCAGGCTCGGGGCCAGAGCGCTGGGGTTTCCCGAATAGGGCGGCCCAGCGGATCAGCAAGAAGAATCTAGCAGGTCTAGCGAAGGCGAAAATGGTGAAAAAATTGCAGCAGGACAAGATACACCTGTGCAGCGTGCGGCGTCGGCCATGGCCGTTGTCACTGCCACGGCGACTTTTGCCTTTGTGGAGATGGTTGATTGAAAACAGCAAAAGCGAGAAATGGGCTGGGAACACGCATCCGTGGATCCGCCAGGGAATGTCGCAGCGCGGTAGTTGAGTGGTGGGGGGTACTCGATGGCGGTGGGCGCATGGCGCATGGATGGGGGTACCGGGGCCGATGGGAGTACCTGGGGCGGTACTTTGGGCTGGTTTTGTTGGATCGCTGGGGCAGGCGGCGAGACGTGAGGGCGTGTAAGTGAGCGACGATTCGAGGCGAGGCCAGTTGGGACTGCGAAATCAGCTGATGGACGGCGATGGTGATGTTTCTCTGCAATTGGAATTCCCCAACGTTGAAGCGCATAGCATCATTCACTTCTCGTCCAGCTGCCAGAATCAGCAGATGCCGCTTCAATCGCCTGACAGCTCCCCAATCTCTCGCCCTCATCTCTCAATCTTTATCAAAACTCTACACCCACCCCCTCCCCCGGCGCAGCGGTACCTCGAAAGCTGGTCTGCCGCAAGTGGCTAAACGTGCTTGACGTGGTACCCTTTTTTAGCGCAATCGCTGCCACCAGGTTGAGCCAATCACGCTCCAGCGGCACAAGCGCTCAACCTTTTTTTCTCCGTCCTTTCCCCAACAACTTTTTTTTCTTGCTCTTCTTTTTCGCAGTCCCCGCAGCCGAGGCAGTCCCCGCAGCGAAACAAGCTCTCGTTCAGGTTAGCGCTGAAGACATATCTTTTTATCTGCAAGGTTGCCAAATGGGCGAATGGGAGGCAGGGGAATGAAACGACATGCTACAAGTACAGCTTCACTCTCTTGTTGCTGTGCCCTGGACAGCGGCTATTCCTGCTGGGGAGGCACTTGTTGCGAATTACGCGTGGCGCTCGTCACGGTTATCAGAGCACGGAGTACAAGCCTCGGATGCTTCATGCTTGACGGCTCTCATGTGAACGAAGAGCTTTTGCTGACGACAGCGTGCGAGCCAACTTGAATTGTATGAAACCCATCTGCCCAATAAGAATGATGTTATTCTGTGTAGATGTGACACCCTGGCAAAATCCGGAGGTGGATACGCGACGTAGTATATGTTCTTGGCTCGAAAAACTAGTACTGCTGTATGTTGAGCGATGACACGATGGACAACAATCAGGTAGTTTTTGGCTGATGAATAACCACCTCATTGTGCTCCAGAAAGTAAGTAATGGCAGCAAAATCATGTGAGAGATTCTATAAACCGTTGGCTAGATTGTAGTCGTGATGGAGGCCAAGACAGCAAGCTGTTGGACAGTTTTTGTTTTATACAGCAGCAAGAGATATGTAGAGTTGATAAGTTTCAAGAGTAATGTTGGTAATGCAGTTAATAATTTTGTTCTTGTTATTTCCAGTACCAAGATATACTTGAAAAGAGAAAAGCAAGTCTCCAAGACTCTAAAAATGTACATCTACCTGCAGCAGCAGCAGGACCGACTACCTCAGCTCTTGCTTCTTCTTTCCATCTTCCACATTCTCCCTTTTCCTACCAAAGACTACTAGTAAATACCGTAGCTGTTACAATGTTGATCTCTGCTTTGGACAAGTACTGCTTACATCACATTGCTCGTACAAATGGCATCGGATACAGCTAATAGGACATCATCATCATGGCACAACTTGCCCGTCGCGGCCCGGCGGGCGATCCTCAATGCATTGCTTCAGACCGACGGTGGCCTGGCCGCCTATGCCGCAGTGTCCCGGGAATGGCAGGCCATCATCGAGCCGCACAACTTTTCCCATCTCCAACTGACGATGCCACGTATCGAACAGCTTGACCTCATGACCTTTCGCACCCAGAGACACGTGCGATACATCTGGCTCTGCTTGGAGCTCGAAGAATACGGGCTACAGGAATCTAGGGTGCAAGGAATGAGCATCGCCGACAGCCACGCCATCGGGAGAGCGTTGCACGAGGTGGTGGATACTCTGAGCTCATGGAGCAACAGGTCCAGCTTAGTGCTCGACATCAGCGTCCACTCGCCCAGTGATTCGGCGTATTGGTTCAAGTACCTGACTTTTGAGCCCGATCACCCGTTCAACCAGAGAGAGCGCGACTACAGTGAGCTTCTGGAGCTGTCTATGCCGGCTACAGCCGACGACGACAGCGACTACAGCGATGACAGCGACTACAGCGACGACAGTGACTACATCAGTGACGACAGTGACGACAGCGACTACAGCCAGCGCCAAGGGAGTGACAATGAGATTTTCATTACTGACCGCGCAGTCGGTAAAGTGTTCGATCCAATCCAGGTAAAAGGACCATTTGATACAATAAAGGAAGAGAACGAATGGTGGCTGGGCATGCCCCTGGCTCCGGCAGTGACGGCGGTGCTTCTTCGCCAGCAGACTCGAAGGCGATGGTCACCAAGAACGCTACTGCTGCTGTTGTCACGGTTTCCCAGACTGCGAGAAATCCACTACGAGCCCTGGAGAGAGTGGCGGGATGATGCGCAAAAGACGACAGACGGTAGTAAGTGAACAAGGGGCTACATTTCGTTGATGGTTCCATACGATACCACCAAGGGGGCTGACCCGTCGTTGTTCTTACTCTACAGACTACAAAACGTTCTTTCAACTCGTTGCCCCTTCGCGTTTGAGAAAACTCGTCATCTTCGAGAACTTCCATCAGCGGTATCCGTTCTACTTCGAGGGCTGCGACGCCTCCCGAAGCCCAAACTAGGACGTCGCCCGGGCCATCGCCAGCTGCCTCAAGCTCGAGCAGATCTCCGCGTCCTTCATTATAGACGCTAAACATTTCTTCGAGGCCCGCGGCCGTGGCTCGGAGTGGGCGTCTTTGAAAACGCTCGTCCTCACTTCGCAGCTGCTCGAGCCCCTCGGCGCTCAGCCCAAGATCACCACCATGTTAGTCCGAGCAGCCCGCGCGGCCTTGAGTATGCCCAAACTTGAACTCATGGAGATTTGGAATGGACAGCGAGGGGTGGCGGCCGTCTTTCGATACCAGACGTCACGGTACAAGGCGAGCAGCGCGGGGAAACAGCGACCTACCGTGATGACCTGGAGAGGGACATGGATGTTTAAACTCGAGGTTCCTTTGATCCAGGCTTGGGAGCATGTCACATACAAGCTTCATGGCAACGTATTGCTGGTCAAGAGAGAGCCGTTGAGTGGCAGATTGATCCAGTCTCATGCAGACGCAATTCACCGTTTGGAGCTAGCGGAATTGGTAATTCGGCCTGTTTCGCAGCGGCAGATTCGAGCTGAGCACATGGCTGGAGAAGATGTGTTTTTGGTTCTTTCGAGTTGATTGGCCGTTTATACTGCTCTTGTCGCTTTTGTCAGCCTTTGTTTAGTATTCATTGATTCTTTTCTTCTTGTCTACTCTATGGGGCATCTTTTGTTTTTTACAGCTGCCAACATTATCTTCTTCTTCCCTCCTCTTTTGGTACCTTTACGGCCCTGATTGAGCAGCCGCACTGTCTCTGATCCACCTGGACTTTGTTGCGGCGCAGCTTTAGGAGTACAAGCTTTTTTTTTTTTTTGTTCTTTCTTCTTATCATCGGGGTGTTCGGGATGTTTTGACAAGCGATGGAATGAATGCTGCAAATGTGACGCCATTTCTCGGCGCTCAACCGGAGTTTTTTTAGATGGGTAGCTCAATGGCTCTTCTTTATTCACTTGTCTACATTCGTTTAATCACAATGTTAGTATACAGCATCAATCTACATTCATGTGCCGATACGGATACTCACTCTGGTATCATTTCAAACATGCGCCACCGCTTCAACATGTCATTCTGCTGTAATCAATAGTCCCCAAGAGTATAACCAAAGCCACACCTATAAACGACATTTCTCTTATCGTACCAATGGTTTCAGTTTATGCTTAATCTATTTATCTCTGTCTCTTTTCACATGTTTCTGTCTCTCTCCACTAAGATCATCCCCCCATCGATAGACAGCCACAACTTCGTCTCGCTTATTCACATCCATCCCTTGATAGGCTATCCATTTTCTTTCCCCCATATTCATTTCGGATAACTAGAGCCAAAAAGAAAAAAAAAATGCCAGTTGAGATCCCGGCTCATCCATCCGTTCCCATCCCAACTTGAACTTGACCCACCCCCAACTCCCCAAAAACAAATACGTATATACATGCTTGTATGGTTCATTCGTTAATTCTCTCCGATGCCTCGGTTCACATGCTCATCTTGTCAAGAAAAGAGTTTATTCGCCCTCAATGCCCAATTACTCAAGTTTCATTCATCCTATCCATTCCATGAGCACGTTTTTTTTGTAACCCTCCGAAATTCAATCACTAGATACACACCCCCCTTCCCAACAGAAAAGTTTGAAAAAGGATCGAAAACGGCCAGCCTTTGGTTCGAGTTACACGGGACTAGGCTTAGTAGCCACACTGCACACGAGCAGCCTCACCCGGTTTCTAGTGCTTCTTCTAGAATATTTCCATAATAGGCAATTTCTGAACGTATGGGTCTATTGCAAGTATTTGTAGAAGCCTCAATATGAACAGCATCTTGATACTTAATCCCTATTCACAGCATCCTCAATATGAACAACATCTTAATATTCAATTTGTTCTACTTGATTGCCAACTAGTCATATCTCATACTCGTTAGTCCGGCGCTATGCTATCTTGCTGGCCCAGGTCATTTCCAAATGTCGTGATATCCATAAATATTCATAATCCAAAATCGTAAAAAGGAAAAAAGAAGCCAGGTCAGTTGCCTGCGCAGTTATATCTACTTTACACAAGGGAATCGCAAGAAAGCAAAAATATCAACAACGTTTTGAATGAGATCAAAAAAAGAGAGGCAGTGATGAGAAGATGCGAGAAAGAAAAAAAGGAAAAAAAAAGTAAAGTAAAGCAGTAAAGACAAACAAAGAGCAGGCTATCGCTGTATGCCAATGAAATCTGTGTGTATATGTGTGTGTGTCTGGTTGTTCATGTCTGCGCATCTGTCGTAATCATGAGCGGTGTTGCCGCTTCGGGTCGTGTCATTAATTGAAACTCATCATCGATGAGTCCCTTCTCCTGCAACAAGTCTCCTTCAAGCTCCAGGTGAGCTGCTCCAATCCCCGTCAGTGACACGGGAATAGTTCCGTGTCTGGGATACGTGAATCCGCCGGTTGGTTCGGTTTGGCCCAAAGTCTCCTCGCTTGGCGGGATCCAGCGTTCACTCGTGCTGCCTGCATTAAGAAGCTGCCCGGCCCTCTGCGCGCTGCTGGCATTGTAGCTTTGCCGGGGATCGGGCGATTTGAAGCCCGGCGAACGTGAGGCGATGTAGTCAGGCTCCGACTCGGTTTCTGGTGTCGTCACCCGAAGTGCTTCCCCATCGTCCACCCTAGAGCTCATGGTCGCGTCTGTTGAAATGGGTGTATCGGCTGCATCAGTCTGCTGGCGGGTTGCGTGAGACGACGGCGACCTGGGTGAGGCTTTTCTGAGCCGCTTAACTTTGATATTGGCTGTGTTTTTCGAAAGCTTGAGTCTCGGGCTTAGCCGAGGCGCTTCGATGTTGACATCCGGGATAATGGTCGCTTCTTGAGCTTCAAAGTCGATATCAATAGCAGAGTCTTGCCTGCCAGCGTCTTCTTCCCCGTCTTCTTCTCCGTCAACTTTTCTCTCAAACACATCATCCTGTGACTCAATGCTCCTTGGCCGAGCTACTGCGCTGACAGGTGACTCGGTTACAATCACAGCGGGGATTGTATGGGCAAAGTAGTTCTCTTCATCCGCGTCCCTTGGTTCCAGCGTGGCGTCTGCGTCTTCAAACACATCATTAGCGGCTGACCCTCCCCAGCTGGATTCGGGTGCCATGGGAACGGATAGTCCACGCTCGGGCCTGTCAGCTGCATCATCAGTGGCTGTAAAATATTCTGTGCTTTCATAGGTACTGAGCTGGTTCAGGGGCCGTGAGCGTCGATCGCTAATATTGAGAAACCTCTCAGCCGACGGCGTCGGAGTTGGCTGTCGCCGCACGTCATATTCACTGTCCGGAATCACAAAGCTGTCCCCGCTGTCGCTGTAAGAGGGAGCAATGTTCCTGTTTGCCGCCCAGGCGGATTTGTATGCCACCTCACCGCCGCCCATATCGCTAGGTAGTGGGCTCGGCGGCGACCTGCCCCGGCTCGTATAGTACTGATCATAAGGAAGAGGCCCGCTATGCAGATATGTCGAGCTTGGATAGACCAGTTCCTCGTCAAGGTCTACCGTCCTCATTGCGGAGTGGGACTCGACGTCGTAGCCATCGGAAAGGTACTCGTTGTTGACGGCGCCAGTATCCACGCGCACAGGATCGTGATCCGAGCGCAGTGCGTCACTGTGCTCATCGTCCGGGACAGCTCGCGGAAACATTCGCAGCAGTGACGAGGCCTGCAGCCTCATTCGCGGGTCATCGCTGAGGCAAATTTCCGTCATTTGTCGATACCAATCTGGTACGTTAATCTCTGGTCCCAGGATGAGCGGCCGACCCTGAGTCTCGGGCTCATCCTCAAGCATTGCAAGCCCCCAGAGCACCATGCCGAGCTGATATAGATCCGACTTGACCCCGATATACATGGATAGTCTCTGGTTAGACTCGATGAGGGCCGTCGCCTCCGGAGGCTCCCACCCCACGGGACAGCCTCGCCGATTGATGTCGATGATTTTGGCATCGCCAGCGTCGTCGATGACGATATTAGACAAGGTGAAATCTCCTTGGACAAATCCGGATTCGTGGACATCAGCCAGTCCCTGGACGATTTGTCTTGCCCACTTCTCCCTTGTATTCCAAGGGAGACCAATGTGGTTTTCCTTGCAATTCTCAAAGATGATGTCGATCAAGGCGCCCTGGCCAGCAAAGCTGATGAGAAGGCCCTTGACCTGCTCATCATCATCGTCGACTACCACTCCGTAAAAGTCAATAACGTGCTTTGAGAAGCGCAGGCCGCTCAAAGCATTGACCTCGTAGAGGAATTCTTCGACGGTATCGGGGCTGGGAATCTCCTTCTTGATCAGCATTTTGCCCATCACGCTGACTTTGTAAACAAAGCCAGACATGTGGGAGTCAAAAACAATGTCTCGCTCTTTGACTCTTTTACACCCTAGGTGCCGAATCTGGCTAACGGTGGGGTAGTGAATGATTTCCTTGAGGAGATTTTTGTTAGTCTGCCATGGAAAACGGCCATGCGTCCCAATAGAGATGACACGGGGGTAGTAGTCACTTACATTACCGTCTTCGACTACGTGAACATGTAGTCTTCCGTCGGTAGTTTCGAGCTTTAGGTTTGTCACTGTGTCGTAAAATTGGATATCCTGTAGACTGTCGCGGATAGCCTCGTATATCTTGGTGCTCTTATCCCTCTGATATTTGGTGCGGCTGAGATCCCACTCTAGAGAATTCTCTGGCGCATCACGATAATCCAAAGAGACGGTGACGCGGCGCCAAATATGTTCTTCCTCACGATATGTCACAAAGAACTTTTCTCGTTTTGAACGGTCTCTAAAGTGCATGCTCAGATTGAGAATCCACTCCCGCTCTAACTTGTCGAGAATCATTGCTTCGTACTGCGACGTGGTCATGGAGCAAGTATCAGCAACAGATGCCGCGTCCTGAGTGGCGTACTCGTCATCGGCATCGTCAGCCTCATTGCCGTCAATGTCTGAATCATCATCCGTTTCGGCATGCGGAATATCGGACGACGCATCCGCCGCCTCGAACTCGGCGAGGTCGAGGGGAAGTGACTGTGCATAGTTTGAAGTAGTTTCGTGGAGAAGCTCGCCAAAGAAGCTCGGCGCACTGGAGTGAGGGTCGACGTGGGTTTTGGAGACTCGCCCGCTGGGTTTGCGTGGATAGTGAGCCCGCCTGTCGACGGACGCCGCCCTTCGCTCCTCTGCCGAAGGCTCTACAGGAGCCAGATGTTTTCTATCTTCCGACAGCTGGCGCTTGAATGTCTGGGTTCGGGGCAAGCCAGGCACGACTCGTTTTGACATGCGCTTGATCAGGCCGGGGCTGGAGACGGGTTCGGGAGCAAGTCGCTGGTCGGCGGAGACGGACGAGGCCGAGGACTTTGTGCTTCTTGTGCTTGCTGAGCGGGCCAGGAGCTTGCGCAAAAAGCCCTGCTTGACGGGTAACGGCGACTGCGGCTGCGACTGAGGCTGAAGAAGCGACGGCGACGTGCATGGACGGCCATCTGGAAGAGACATGCTGGGCAACCGGCTGGATTCCGCTGTGATACAAGGTACTTGTCGATATGCGGTGTGTGGCTGCGAGCATCAAGTACCCACTATACGAGCAGGCAGTACCTAACAAACGATGCGCGACGGGACCGTAGATGGTCAGATTCTGTCGCTCTTTAAATGTATGTATTTTTAACCAGTGAGATGTCAGAAAACGGCCTTGTTATCGAGCGATGACAGCCAGTCGTGAGGCTGAAGCAGCGACAAGGAGGGGTGCTTGAGCTTTTATGGAAGCTAAGCAGGCAGGCCGTTGCTATATATGCCGATTCACCGAACAAGCAGCTTCGCCGGGGAGCGGCAGGGCGGCGAGCTGCTGGAGAAGAGAAGCCTGTACGAGCTCGAATAGATCACGGGGGAGCTGCCGGGGGGTTTTTTTTTTTTGACTGCGTATGAGTCAAGAGCAGGAGGCGGATTGTCTGTGATGGGCGCGGAGGACGCACGCAGGGGGACGACAAGGCGGCCGGTGAGTGGATGGCGAACAGCAGGCAGACGAAGAGACGAGGCCGGGCTCTGTGAGTGGCTGGCCAGCCCAGTTGCGTGTCCAGTAAGAACGGCGGCGTGGCGGACGATGCGCGGTGAGAGCAGGTGAGGCGAGGCGAGGCCAGGACGAGGGGCAAGGCCGGAGGGATGGACGGACGGCGGTTCTTTGCTGTGTAAAAGAGCCGCTTCGAGGGGCGAGGCAAAATGTGGGCGACGAGGCACAAATAAAAGGCTGCGGCTCCCCACGATGGAGAAGGGGGAAATAAGAAGATGGAAAGAGAAGAAGGGAAAAAAGGAGGCAAAGCTCGCGGCAAGGGGAGGTAGAAGAAGGTGGAGCGGCCTGAGAGACACGGAGGAGGTTGGCGAGAGCGACGAAAAGAGTCGAAGCCGGGTTGATCTGGAGATGAACGACGACGAGACAAGATATCCGGAGTGCTGGACAGGACCTGGACAGGACATGTACAGGCAGAGGTAGGCAGTACCAGCAGGTACATGCAGATTGAACCCTGGAAAATGGGACGCGGGCTATTTCTGGGGTCGTGACCAGCCTTGTGCCACCCCATCGTGGGCACCCGTCGTTCCCAGCAGGAGGAGCAGCGTACCCAGCCGTACTCGGTACAAGAACCCAGGCTCCCGGTCTGGTGCAAAAGGCCTACCTGGTGCTCGCCTGTCGGTACGTGGGATGGAATCCCAGCAGCTCCAGACAGACAGACAGACAGACAGACAGACAGACCTGTATCTGTCCCTGTATCTGTACCTGTATCCAATGGGTACCCAAGGCACTACATGCACTTCTCGATCCCAAGCATCCAGAAGCAGCCTCCAGGGCCTGGGCCTGACAGCCACCAGACATGCTGCAGTAGCAGCATCAACCACGCTGTAAGCCCAAGGCACGGAATAGGCACCGCACAGAGATTGAACACCCAAGTCCACGTTTAGCGGCTAGGCTTGCCGCTGGAGTCGTGCCCGAAAGCCCGCCATCGTCGCCTGCCGCTAGCGGGCTGCGGTAGCGGTTGCTGCTCCATCGCACCAAGACGGCAAGCTGCTTGGACTAGACTAGCACCGCCGCCCTTGCTAGCTGCTGTCTTAGCGCTGTCAACTTTGCAGCCGGACTGCGGGTTGGGCGCCGCTGGACCCCTCCTTTTGCTTCTGGCTACAGCATTCGCCCGCTGGCCGGAAATCCAGGGTGCGCCGGCTGCCCTCCAGTGGACCTCGGGCTGCCAATCGTCGCTGCAATGGGCGGCCACAGCGCTGGATGGCACCCTCCCGCTGCTCCAAACGGGCAATGGGCGGTGGCATGACGCGCCAACAGCAGGGCCGCAGCCACTGTCACAGCGGGGCCTGCACCTGTGATGGGCTGTTTTCGCGTTCCTCGCATGTGGCAGAAGCCACTGAATCCATCGATAGTCTTTGGGTCAATCATCATTCAATGATGCTCAACTCCAACTGCAGTCGCTAACCTTGCGTCGACACTCTCGGCCGCCAATCCTGCCAGCAATCTGTACCCAACCCGCGCATCCCATCTCACAGCTCACAGCTCCCAGGGCCAGGGCCGCAGTCAATGTCAATCCGGACCGTAAACAAAGGCGTTGCCCCATCGACCGCGCTGCTCATCTGCTCATCTGCTCGCCTTGGTGACCGCCAATTCGACAGACGACCTGGTCCAGCTCCGCCCGCTTACTCTTTTTGTCGGAGCCCTCTTGGTACTGGCGGAGAGCAGAGCCGTGATGGGAAGCGACCGAAGCTGCTGCGATTGCCATGGCAACGGCGCCTTGCCGGTGGTAGGTCTCATACCGAGCACCCCGTGCCAGACCAGCATTGCCACCATGCGAGTCGAGTCGAGTCGAGTACTCAGGACCTGCTCGCCAGCATGCGATCAGCAACAGTGCCATCATGGGCTCCTAGCTTGCCTGCCAGGTTGCCTGTTTTGCTGGCGTCGTCGCACCGACAGCTTGGACGTCGGGCCAGCCACGAACCGGGTGGTGGCAGTTGGGCAGCGAACTAGGCCTCGGAGAAGCTGACGAGAATACGAGTCTAGCAGCGCTGGGTTCGCTGTCATTGTACTATTGCAAGCAGGTAGGCAATGCTAGTGGTGGTAGTTCTGACACAGGCTCCAGTCCGCAGGGTCCAGGTCGCTGCCAGCAAGCTGCGTAGATCGGACTATGCCGCATCGTACATGGACGCTTAATCAATCGCTTCGGTACTCGGACGGCCAATCTGCCAGGGCAGCTGGTACATGCTGGTACTTGTGCTGTTATTGAGCAGAACCATCGCTTTCAGGCCATGCATCTTTAGCATCTTACTGACCTACCCAGTCACATCACTGTTTTGACCTAGTAGCCATCCGCCAGGACTCGGCCTTTCCGGAATCCTTGGGGAGATAATTTCAAGACAGCTCGACTTGGACTTGGGCTACGGGCCATCACAAGGTTGGGCCAGATTCGAGTCAGGTATCCATCATACAATGGTCGCTACCACGAAGCTGGCGCGATGAGTCCGTTCGCGAATCGAGTGGGTTGATGGCCAGAGCCCAACAGGCCAAGCAAACAGCGACATGACCAACACGATATCTACATGTACTCTTGAATGCTATACTGTACGTTGTTGATGCCGAGCAAGATGTGGTATAGTATACTCCTGGGTACCGGCTTGGTATTACGATGACAACTTGCCAAGCATGTACAAATTACGAAAAGGCTACCATGGCCCAACGGGAAAATTGCAAATGGCAAATTGCTGCCCCTATCTCTCATCCCTACTGGTCTTGCGGAATGCATCCGCAGACTCATATGTCAGCCCCCCCAAGCCCGGGCCCCCGTTCCGAGATGATCTGGCCTGCGTACGCACGTCATGCTGGCAGCAGCTCTTTACTGCGCCTGGACCATTACGGAGAACTCGTGGGAGACGGACGGGTTATCCAGTAGGACCATCACGATGCTCAGTGGCGTTCCTTGTTTTCCTGCTTGTCCAGCAGCCGCGAATCTCAACATCATCGCCTCGCCGACTGCTGGTGCGCAGATAAAGGCGCATGCTCTGGACCTCCAATTGACTTGTCGGCCTGGTGTGGGGTCGGGCATGACTGCATTGCTAGCCGGGCCAACTGGACAGCAGATGAGGCTGCCATCGCTAGACTTCAAGTTGCTTGTACATGCGCCCATCGCGATGCCGCCAGTCACACCGACAGCTTGCAACAATCGCCTCCCAAGCGTGCCCTCCCGCATGCAGCTCGCGGGATGCACATGCCTCGTCCGTCTGCTCGCCTTTCTCGCATCAACTTGGTCGCCTTACTCGTAGATGGAGTCATGGTTTAGTACAAAGTAGCTTTGGGCACAGCCGCGGGGTTGTTGGTTGGGCTGAGCATCAACCAGATCAGCAACGCCCGAGTGATGCATCACTTTACGCACGTTCCCCTTGCATGCCATGCTTCAAACGTCTTTTTCTCCTGACAAGAGACTCTAGCCGTAAACAAGACCGAACAGTTGAGGCCGTGATGCTGATACTGCCAGATGCCAGGAACCACTACAGTACATACATTAGACAATACACTGAATGGTCACGAGCGTCCACAGCTCCATCTGATAGGCTCTACTTCTTTTCTGCTTCCAAGACGCCCAATCAATTCTAGCTAGGCCCGTCCCGCACCACCGTCCCGCAACGCCAGATCGGAGCTTTCAATTCCAACCCCACGCGCGCCGTTTCAGATGGGACGGGACAGCATAAAGATGGCCGCCCACAACGGCCTGGCCTGGCCTGGCCTGGCTCGCGAAAAAAAAAAAAAAAAAAGCTGTGCGGCGCTGGCCGCGAAACCGCAAGGCATAGACGCAGAAGAAAAGAAAAAAAGACTGGATTTTTGCACAAGGCAGAGTTTGTTGCAACTGGAGTTATCCGTAAAGGTGCTGCCACATCAGCTCGCGCTGTATGTATTTATTTCATTCGGATAGTAGACACTGAAAGTCATGACCTTTTACCGCCACGCTGCGAAGGACCAAAACAACAGTCTTTCTCTAGTCTTGTCGAATAGAAATCATCTCTGCCAAATTCCAAGGTGATGTCAGCTTACATTACCGCCAAGGCCTTGGCCGAACAACATGAACAACTCTCCTCCACTACACGTCATGTCACATAGGGATTTACAGCCAGGATATAGAACACATAGCTCGGCTTCAAAACTAGATACAGCATTTTTTTTTTTTTTGGTTTTGATTCATTGTGCTAATGCGTCATATAACTATATATACCATAAACTTTCCATCCCTTTGCCTTTGCTTCTATGAATTGGAGATTTTTACCGCGTCTAAGCGCCCCGAAAATATTCTACATATTCCTCTTTCGCCCCATCTGCCCTCGCCGACTTGAGTGTGATCTAATATACATGTTATGCCAAATTTCCCTCTTTTCTTTTTTGTCTTTTTCTTGGTTTCTCTCTCCCCCCTAACTAGATTAAACAAAAGAAGAAGAAAAAGAAAAAAAGAAACCATGGCTAAGTTGGTTTTTCGTGTTTTTTTTTTTTTAACAAAATGAATAGGAAGTGTAATCTGTCCGCCAAATGATTCTTCTCCAGTCCTTGCTCTGCTCGAAAATCAAACAAGGACAGGTTGGGGGAGGAAAGAAAAATCTCGGCTTGTGCTCCTCCCGTATCATCATATGGCAATGTGTGCCTGCGTTGTGTTGTTGTAGATTCAGAAGTCGTGGATGATAAAAAAAATATGTCCAGAGAGAGAAATCGACTTTTTCAATACTCTTCTCCCTCTCTGCAAAGGGAGGTGCCAACTCTGTGCTCTCATATGCTTTCCAAGATGTGCCATGTCAGTGTGTGTTTAATCATCGTCCTCCTTGCTTTCAGAATCGTCCTTCTTCTTCTGCTCAGCCTTCCACTCGCAAATCTTGCAAGTATTGGCCTTTTGGCGGTCCAGGTTGGGGAAAACCAGGTCAAAGACTTCAGAGTACCAGCTTACAGCATGGCCTTCAATGCCTTCTTTGATGGTCTATATAAGAGTCGTTAGCACAAGTTTAAAGAAAATAAAGCTGGCCTAAGAAAAAGAAAAAGAAAACATACCTGAGGAAGTTCCAGCCAGTCTGACATGTTGTCCTTGGGAAAGATGATAGTCTTGCATCCTGCTCTCCTGGCCGCCACAGTCTTCTCCCGCAGTCCGCCAATGCGGAGGACCTTGCCGGTCAGCGTAATCTCACCAGTCATTGCCACGGTGGGGTTGACCGGCTCGTCCAGCGCCAGAGATAGCAGCGAAGTGGTCATGGTGATACCGGCAGAGGGCCCATCCTTGGACACAGCACCATCGGGGACGTGAAGGTGCATCTTGGCCTTGTCGAAGAAGTGGTTTTCGGGGAACTGGTTGACCACGAATGACTTGGCGAATGAGTAGGCGATTGTAGTGGACTCCTTCATAACGTTCTTAAGGTTGCCCGTGATTTCCAGACCGGGTCGTGAGCTTGGTCGGAGGGGCGCTTGAAGGATAGACTCGATGTACATGGCAGCGCCGCCCATCTGTGTCCAGGCCAGGCCCATGGAGACACCAGGCGGGCTCACATCGTACAAGCGGTCAGATGTGAAGATTGGGGGTCCAATGTAGTCAGTCAGGTTGTCCTTTCCGATGCTAACATGGACACTGTCTGGGACTTGTAACGCTTTTCGTGGCTTTTCTGTAGTCTCGTTCTCGCCAGCCTCGGTAGCGGCCTTCTTCTCATTGCCCTCAGCTTCCGCAGCAGACTCCTTGGCCTTCTCCGCAGCGGCCTTGCCTTCGTCTGTCAGAGCCTCTTCTTCGGGGAGGACTTCCTCCCCAAGCTCTTGGACAATTTTCAGTGCTGATTTGCGATAGACCTTTTCAATCTGCTTCTTCAAGTTTCGGACACCTGATTCTCGGCAGTAGGACTTGATGAGCTCCTCGATGGCCTCGTCGGTGAGCTGGACATCAGCGTCTTTCAGACCGGCTGCTTCCTTGGCAGCTGGCCCGAGATATCGGTTGGCGATGGCCTTCTTCTCATCCGCGACATATCCGGACAGAGTGATGAGCTCCATACGATCCAGGAGAGGTCTGGGGATGGTGTCCGTCATATTGGCAGTGCAGACAAACAGGACCTTTGACAGATCGACGGGGACATCCATGTAGTGATCCAGGAAAGAGCTGTTCTGTTCCGGATCCAGAAGCTCTAGCAGGGCCGATGAGGGGTCGCCCTGGTAGCCCCGGCCAATCTTGTCAATCTCATCAATCAGAATGAGGGGGTTCTCAGTCTGGCACTTCTTCAAAGCCTGGATGATTCTACCGGGAAGAGCACCGACATATGTTCTTCGGTGACCCTTGATTTCTGCAACATCAGTAAGACCCCCAACACTGAAGCGGTAGTACTCTCGGTTAAGAGCTCTGGCAATGGACTTTCCGATACTCGTCTTTCCGACACCAGGTGGGCCGACAAAGCAAAGAATCTTGCCCTCGACCGAGCCACGCAGCTTACCCACAGCGATAAACTCCAAGATTCGATCCTTGACATCTTGCAAACCGTAGTGGTCCTCGTCGAGGACTTTGACGGCGTTGGGGATACCAAAGTTCTCTGGGCTTCTCTGACCCCAGGGGATCTGAGTGAGCCAGTCCAGGTAGTTCCTCGTGACGTTGAACTCCGAGGCGGCCGTCTCCAAGTGGGCCAACTTGTTAATCTCCTCGTCAAAGACTTTGCGGACAGGATCAGGCATGGCAAGCTTGGCGGCCTTTTCCTTAAACTTCTCCACAAGCTTGTCCTTGCCGTCTGATTCCAAGCCGAGCTCACGACGGATGCCCTTCATCTGCTCCATGAGCCAATATTCCCGCTGGCGCTTGCTGATCTTACTCTCAACATCCTTGGTAATCTTGGACTGTAGCTGGGCGTTCATGAGTTCCTTCTTGAGCACGATCAAGGCCTTTTGCATTCTCTCTTCGATATTCATGCAGCCCAAGACTTCTTGCAGCTCATTCTGCTCTCCGGAAGAGACGGCAGCGGCAAAGTCAGCCAGCTTAGCAGGTTCTGAGGTGACGTTTCCGGTAGATTGGCTCATTGAAAAGGTGGAGATCTGGTCTCGGAAGAGGTTGTTCATGGTAGCGACCTCTTTGAAGACATTGACAATTTCGTTTGTCACGGCGCGAATAACAGGGCTCTTGGGGTCATAAGGCTCGTCTACCAAGTTCTCAACATTGACCAGGCTGACGGGGTATCTCTTAAGGAACGACGTAGGCTCGTACTTCTCCGCCACCTGTTCCGGCTTCTTCTCCACGGCGCTCTCCTCGAAGCTTGTTACCACGTCGCCCTTCTTCTCCTGGTTCTCCTCCTCGGCTGTCTTTTGCGGTATCGGCTCGGGCTCCGTCTCTGACTTGGAATCAGCCTTGTCCGCCTCTTGAGTTCCGGGTGGAACCAGACTGGACAGCTTGATTCTTCGGTGCGGATACAGGATTGCTGTCAGGGCGCCCTCCTGGCCGTGGATGGGGAAGGCACTGGTGATTTGGGCAAAGACACCAACGTCGTGCACATCATTCACATTCCGAATAATGTCCTCGTCCTCGTTCTCATCCTTGAAGAGGAAAGCTCCTACATAGGGCTGGCCACGCTTAATAGACTCGGTAATTGCAGTCGCGACATTGGGATCCTTAATCGTAATGGCTTTGTAGAAGCCTGGGAAGAGCGGCCGCCGGGCAATGGGAATCGCCAGGACTTGCGGGTACACCTCTGGAATGACGGGCTTCGACAGCGCCCTCTCAGCAGCTCTGCGACCTCGCTTTCCGCCCTCGCCGCCCTCACCGCCAGAACCCTCGTTGCCTGCGCCGGATCCAGCACCAGCAGCACTTCCTGCCGCATCGCTAGGCTTCCCATCTTGTGATGCTCCGCCCTCGTTCTTGGCGGCTGATGCTACCGATTCCGGGTCGGCGGCGGTGGCCTTTGAATCCTCCTTGGCGTTATTCTCAAGCTTGGACTTTGCATCTTCTGATTCCTTTGTAGGCTCAGCGGCAGAGTTGAAGAAGCTTTCCTTGTCCTTGTTGTCCTTTTCTTTGCCGAGTCTCGTGGTTGTGGAGAAGGATGATGCTCCCGTCAGCCGGGGTCGCAGGCCGGGATAGCGACGGCCGGCGATGTGAGTGGCCCGCAGAGCCGAGCTGAAGGCCCATGCCCGGGGTATGGAATCGGACAGCGCCCGGTTTGGTTGTGAAGCCGCCGAGCGTTCGAGTATCAGGCGCCCAGAGGCTCGGGATCGGGGCAGCATGGCGGAGGGTTGGTTCGAGCTGATCGGCTAGTCGGAGTTCGGAGTTTGCTATTAGAAATACAAGACGATGAAGGGAGGGGATACAAGGAGAAGAATCATTCGGTTATTCTTCCTCTTCTTCTTCGTCCTTTGTTTCAGTAGCAATTCATGCGCATTGCCCGAGTATCCTGTGGCGGAGGGCGGGTGACTGAGTAATCCAAGATGGAGCAAAAGGTGGTTGAGCTTGGACTACCGCAGTTAATAATACACGAGAGCTCTAGGCGGCATCCTGGCTACGACATGGCCGAAAATTCGAGGGGCCTAGTACCTTCCATCGGCTGAACTGCGGGGGCCTGAGTGCTGCTTCAGTGCTGCGGAATCCGGAGTAATCGCTCGGAATTGGCGGGGTAGCTGTAGTTGTGATGAGACGAACATGGAAGATATCATCTGAGAGCATCAATTGGGTATATAGTTGTCGATTATGTTTACATGTCTATTGCTATCTGGCTGCTGTGCGCTGGAGACTTTGGCGTTGAACTGAAGCTCGTGAGACCTGTAGCCGGCGAGTGTCTGGCTTGATAACGGCACCTGTTACCGGCTGCGGGGCAGAGCGAGTCCACTATTGGCAGTGACTTAATAATCCATATAAATCCGCATCTCGACATTATTAATCCCCATGGTTGACCGAGAGTTGACTACCCGGTATAAATCCCTCTAGTTTTTTTATGACAGTTGCTGTAATGAGTATTCCTTGTGCCGTAAATTATCGTCTTGTTGTTAGAAGCTTGAATAATGACAATCGAGTACCGGGTAACTACTAGCTTTTATAACCATCTACCCATTTGGCAACACCAAGAAAACAGACGAGATGTCGTCCTCATTAGAACCAGTAAAATCTTGGAAATATTCACACGAGCACCACTTGTGTTTAACTATTTATTCCGATTATACACTCCAATGCCACAGAGACTCTTTCATATATGCTCATCATTTCATGCGTGTCATCTTTTGCTACTATTCATACATGTCCATCTCATCCCTTCTCTAGTGTACAAAGAAAGAATGTTCTATGCCAAGTTTATCAATTCAACATTGTCGTGTGATACACCCATAACCCCATATGTCTGATTGTCCGCGCTGCCCTCCAAATGGCGCAGAGATATCCAAGCCGCTGCTGGCCTATGCCCTTCCCCTTACTCGTCTCCTTCACCACCGTCATCCTTTGCAGGCGACTGATGAGTCGTCCTCTCCGCCCTACCCGCATGCCTCCGCACACCCCGGACTCGCCTCTTCAACTCGCTCGACACGGCCCGCAGCGGGTTTCTCATTCGTCGTCTCAGTCGTTTGGTCTCCTGCACCCGAAGCTGTCTCTCCAGCGCCTTCTTCATGCCCTTCAGCTCCATATGCGAAAATGGTCTCAACATGTCCATGGCGCTCTTCTTTAGGCTTGCCTTTCGGTTACCGTCCAATGCTCCCGAAACATGTTCAAAGTCAGTATTCGTAAAGGCGTAGTGCAGGCGGGGGAATTGTCTCTCAATCTCTCTCAGCTTGGCGGAGACACTAGCTGACCAGGCGGCCAACTTGCGCAGCTTCAGCCACTGCTGTTGTAAGCTGAGGACAGCCGCATTGGACGCCTGGAGCACGCGCGTGTTTCTCATATTGCGGCGTTCCTGGAGACTTCTTTTGCCGGGACTCCATCCACGCCAGCGCGGCATCAGCATGGTCTCGCACCAGCGCATGGCAGGCTCCCACTGGCCCATCTCGGCAAGATAGCGAATTACAAGATTCCAGTTGCTCCGAGTCAACTTGAACCCAGCCGATGTAACCTGTTGAACGACTTCAAGCAGCTCCTTTCCGCTGTTCTCTTCCCTAAGCGTCTTGGCCAAGATCGTTACTGGTCTGGAGACATCGTATTCGTGGATGGGATAGATGCCTGTTGCTTGGCGGTGCCGCGCTCGAGCGAGGACTCTCTTCCAAGTCTGGTTCCACATATCATGTACCTGGCGGAACTTCCTGTCTTTGAAGTAGCCCAGCATGAGTGCGGAAATCACTTCCGGAGGGAACGGCTCGCTTCCTCTATGCTTGGGGAACATTCCGCTATACAAGCTGATGGCCTCTTCAGCTGTCGTAAAGTCTCGTAGTTCGACCAAGAGTTTGATGGCGCGGCCAATGCTCTTGGTTTGTTTCTTCAAGTGTCTAATATCGCTCGGAAGTGTTGAGACAGCATGGGCCTCTCTACCTCTGGCATTGTGGATAAACAGAGAGCGTAAATGAGCGACGAATTCTTTCCCGAGCTGCCGCGTTCGGGTAGAGGACGGCTTCTTCTTGAAAGAGGCTTCAGCGAGGGCTACCTTGGCATTAAAGTTCATTGACTGGCCAGCCTTGAGAAGATGCGAAGCCAGAATCTCGACCAGTCCAAGGTCGCCAATACGAACAGCGCCAGCCATGACAACGGCAAAATGTTCTGGACCAACTGGAAACAGCTTCTCCTTGTAGGCAGTCCGCAAGAGGCGGTAGGCAGGCTGCACTTGGTCCACTCTTACAAGAGCCTGAAGGAGAAATTCATGAGTCTGATGGTCCCATGCGAGGTCAAACGACTTCATGGCCTGAAGCAGCTCGTAGCACTTGCTAAGCCTACCTTGCATGCCGTTGAAATGAATCAGCTGGTTCCAGATGGCAGTGCTTGTCGCGTTTCGTTCCGCCAGCTCCATGGATATCCTTTCCGCCTCCATCAATCGATCGTTGCGACAGTACGCCATGACCAGGGCCATTGCCATCTCCTTCGATACGGGAACTCGGCTTTTTTGAGATTGGTTGAAGAAGCCAAGAGTGGCTTCCAGGTCACCCTTCTTGGCAGACATGGCCATTATATGAGCATACGTGAAGGAATCTGGTCGATACATCTTGCAGATCTCGCTGAAGCAGGCCACCGCTCGATTGTAGTCTTGCGCTCGCATATAGCACTTCAGCAAGGTATTCCAAATATCAAGGTCAGGCTTGACTCCGTGGTGGTCTGTCATGAGTCGAAGCTCTTCTTCCGCTTTGGTGACGTCGCCAATCTGCGCATAAGCGTTCATGGTACTCCTAAAGGCCCTGGGTTTCTTCAACACGCGGGGATATTTGCTCACATACCGCCCCCATAGTTGTTGAACGGCTTGGACATCTCCCACTCCAGCGTAGTACTTGAGAAACTTTTCATACCCCCATTGGTCCAAGTCTCCCCAGGCACGATGCCAGTCTTTGTAAATTTCCTCTAGTGTAGCAGTCCCATATGGGTAGTGCAATTCAAACATATGCTGCAGCAAAGCGATGGGTGGGTGAGCGCCTGGAAGCTTGCGGTATGTTCTATATAACTCGGATAACCAAGTGAGGTTAGATCTCAATTCAGATTTGCCATGCCAGCAGTTCAGCACGCGAAGCAAATAATCTTTGTATAATTGGTGGTCGTTAAAAATGTTCAAAATAGCAGTCGCTTGCCTTGGTTGACAGGGTTGCGCCAGTGCTAGCTCTGCCATTTTTCGCCTTAAAGCATCGAGGCCCAGCCTTGTCGTCTCATAGATCTTGATGGGGCGAACCGCCTTTGCACCGTCAGACGAGAGATAATTCTCAAAAGAGAAGAAGAGCTTGTCGAGGCCGGGCAAGCGTTCGAGTCGTTCTAAGCGAATGGCTTCAGGCTGGCCAGCTGGTTCAAACTTGAGGCGAGATGCGTAGAATTCCAGCCATACGCCTATAAGCATGGACCATTTTTCGTTGGCAATGGTATCGGCCAGAATGTACTCGAGGCCCCCGACTAGACCTTTCAGCTCCAGGCCAACCTTTAGCCTACCGATCGCATGCTCCAGGTCACCAGATCGCATGAAAGCCAGGACTCCAGCGGCCAAGAGGTCGTCGTCCCAGTCAGCAATATCAATCTGGCGAAATAGTGAGATGGCCCTCCCGATTTCGACTATTCCGCGCGATTTTGAGAGATACAAGACCATGGCGCGGCGGAAGTCCAATTGATGATGCCCATCTAATCTGCAGTACAAGTCCCAAACGTCGTGATAGCGCTCCTCGCTTTGATGTGAGAGCACATCTTCCAGGAGCGCTGCATTCGACTGCAGCCGAGATACATGGCGTGAGCCCAAGGAGGCTGAAGGTTGCGAAGCTTCGCCCAAGGAGGCGGGCCTCGAGCGGGTGTTATATTGATGTGAGTCTCTCGCCACAAATGACGCTCCATCGTCTCGCTGATATACTCGGTTCCCCACCGAAGAAAGAGCTTCTATTCCTGGCGGGGCCGAGGTATCAGTCGAGCCATGCTCAGCAGTGGCCGTAGACGAGGTGAAATGCCTTCGTCTGGCACCACCGCCCGCATGGCTGGAATCTTGAGGTCGCGGTAGGCCCGGATACAATCGCCGCAGGAGAGAATATGTAGCGCTCGGATATAGAAAGTCCAATAGAAAAACCGACGCAACCAGTCCAGTCTGTAGCGGGCGGTTGGCATTTTCGGACTGCTCCTGCTCGGCGGTCCGACCTATCGCCGGCCAGATACTGGAGAGCTCAATGGCGGACGCTCCATGCTGCCAGAAGCCTGTATGGAGCTGGCGACAGCGTTTCGTCGAGCGGCTCGGCTTCGGAATAATACGCTGGATGTTGCATGATTCCAGACTCGCCGCCGCCGTTCTTTCGAGCATTGGTCCTAGCAGGGAGACCCGAGTCGCAGACTTCCTGCTAGTAAGCAATATAGAGTAAGGAGAGGGTCAAATTGGCATGCCTCGGGCGGCAGCCAGGTCGTGGACGTTGCGTCTCGAGCAATGGAGGAGCTGGATGCGGGCCCGCGGGCGTGGTGCTGGCCAATCGTCTCTGGAATGATGGTGAGGTGGATTGTATTTCTGCAGAAGACATAGCCCGCAATGGCATTCAGCGTGTTTGCCTGGAGCTTCTGCAGGCCGAGGCAGAGATGCGTGGGAAAGGGGCCGTTGTTAAGGCAGCGCCAGCTTCATCTTTGCACTTTTAACGATGGTCTGATCAAAAAAGATACCAAAGGTCCGGGTGGGGCTCCGGAGCGGTAGTACAATATTTTTTTGCGCTGCAGTGCCCGCTATGGCCAGCTGCGGTCAGCTGTGCCCGGCTGTGGCGATAACAGATAAGAATCTACAAGGCCCACCTAAACTTTTATGATCTGACAGCTGCATTGAACCCCCGAGCAGCACGACTTGCACGAGTACTCGAAACCGCTAGCTCTGGTAAATTCTCGTGCTAGGCACGAAGCTGGCCTAGCAAAGTCCTGGAGTGTCCAAATAGCCGACATGGCATGAATCTACTTCAAAAATAGCAGATGTGAGGATTACCACCGCACAAGAAGCATTCAGGGGTAGTAAAAGGTTCACGGGCGAAGAACAGAGGTGGAAGAACAGGTAAATTTTGGAATTGCAGACTATTAATTGTAAAAATGTTGCACCGCGAGGCGATTCTCTGCCTCTCGCCGCCATCAATGGACCGCTCAGAAAAGACACTTGGTAAGCTTCGCCAGCGCCAAATATAAGAATGAATAATGATAATAACACAATTTTCGGGACATGCCAGTCTCCGATAGTATCCAAAAAAGTCATTCTCAAATAGTATTCCCAATGCGTTGCCCTCATAAACACCGATATTAAAAAAGAAAAAAGCACCTTTTCGTATCCCCGTCGTGGTGGTCATCGTACAGACATTGTTGCTTTTCAGATTGCATGCCGAAGCATTGCAACCGCTTGCCACATCCAAGTTGAGTGGCCGTAGCAATTTCTTTCCATGTCAACAAGCTTTGTTGTGATCAGTCTCCTCGTCAGACAGGAACACCTCGTTTCGAAGTCTGGACAGATGATCGACGTGTCTATGGAGTTCCTTCTCCACACGAGGTCCGCGGCCTCGGCTGCGGCTTCTCATCCGCTGCTGCGACTGAAAGACGTCTTGACTGGCCGGCGAGGCAATTCTGGAAGGGCAGTGCTCGCGGCGCTTCTCCCGCAGACGGTTGTGGAGTATAAGGCGGTTTGCGGAGGACTTGACTGAGGGAGACGAGGTTCGAGAAGTCAGGCTGAAGGGAGAGATGGAGCGTCGACGGGATCGCCCTCGCAGCGTGCTCGATTCATCTGGGCGCAAGCTCTTGGAGCTGGGAATATTGCGGTCACGTGTCCGCCCTCGGAAGCCGTCGTGGTCGGAGGGAGGGACGACAGTCATTGTGATATCGTGGAATGTGTCGCTAGGAGGCGCCATTGGAAGCTTTGGTAGCAGTTTTGGGCCTCAGCAGGTTTGAACCACGGAATGTTCGGGAGAAAATAGAACGTCTTTGGAAGAAGTGATGGAGCTCGAGTCAACCAGGGGGTGCGGAGTTTCAGCTAGGCCCCAAGCGTCTGTCGTTTGCTGCTCGTATTGTGCTGAAAGTACGGAGCAGGTAGTGATAATATGGAGTACAGTATCGTACTCGTGTGGAGAATTGGAGAATTGGGAAATAGGCCACGAGGTGCAGGTGCAGAGTCGAGTAGGTGGAAGAAGAAGCGCGGCCGAGGGGAGCACCCGTGGGCAATATATAAGTGCGAGTCTGGTGGATGGGGTGGTTCTTCTAGAAGAACCGGGGCAGTGGCATGAACAAAGAGGCGGAACTGCCGACAAAGATGTTTCAGCCAGAAAGAAAGCAGCCGATGGATGCGGTATAGTGAGAGAAACGAAGCAGCCGTCGAGAAGATGAAGAGAAGCCAGGGGTTGGAGGCAGGACTCGTTATTAGTAGCAGGAACTAGCCGTGTGGCCGCGGTACGAGTACGCAGAAAACAATTTATAGACTTGCAATGCTCAATTTAGCTGAGGCCGCTCCATGCTCGGCGGTCCAGGGTCTTTTGACAGGGGCCCGACAGGTGCTGTGCAGCGTGCAGCATCCCGGCAAAGCAAAGCGTCGGCCGGGTCACCTGAGCAGCCCGGCGAGCAGAGGCCTGGGGGTGGCTGATTATAGCGGCCTTGGGGGGGTCTTGGGGGGCCTTGGGCGCCAATCAGACCGGCTGGGCGCCCGCCATGTCTTGACGCCTCCAGCAGCTGTTATTGCCGGTAGCGTTCCTTGGAAGAGCAGGGCGGCCATCAGTCCTGGTAGCGTCAACCTTGTAAACTCTGAGCCAGCAAACGCCAAAGCTGCCTGTGTGTGGCATTTGATGCGGTTGCTGCCCTCTGGATTGAAACCTTGTTTTTCTCTCTCGATTGGCGTTGACGCGCCCAGTGTGATCGGCGTGGCATGTCTCTGCAGTCTGCAGACTTTGGGGGTCTCGCTCAGCGGTTACAGTGCCCGCTACATGCAACAATGGAAGTGACTGGAACCAACAGCATTTTGCCGGCCAGCCCAACTGCAGATCGTGACACCATTCGCAGACAGCAGCGTCAGTCACGACGCCTGCAGCCAACAGCTGCCGTCCGTCCAACGCCACCGGCCCTGTCTGCAGCCATTTTTGGCACATTGAGCATCTCTGTCAGCGTGACGCCGGCGTGCATACGAGCGCAGGGAAGACGCAGTTGGTAGACCACACAGCCCTGCAGACGATACAATGCGGCAGTGGCTCGCATGCCCGGCCAGAGACGTCGCCGAATCGTGGGGCCAACAGAATTCATCAAAGGGCCCTGTCCTCCTGTGGAGAGCCTGAATTGGCTTTTGTTAGAACACAGCCGTAGTGACTGTATGCCGATTCTGTAGAGAGAGCTCGTCACCAACACACCATGCACAGGCGCCCATCGACGAAAAGTCTGTGGCCATTTTTAGTTTCTGATACTTATCGAAAATGGTGGCGAGGGACTACTGGATGGCACTACTGGGAGGCACATTTCCGCGTCTTGGTCATCTTTGGCATCTCAACCTCGATAGCAGCACTTGGGCCAGGCAGAGAGGCGGCAGACATGCCAACTACCGCGCTTCTGACTACAAATCTTGACGCCTCCCAGTCTATCTGATCGTTTAAAATAGCTACTCCTACTGTGACACAATCGCCAAGCAAAACAGGTCGACGGGAATCGGCCGCGTCTTCTCCACTTGGACCAAAACCTTGAAGCCTCTGATGCTGCTTCTCCATGCCAGCAGCTGAGCATAGCAGAGCTTGCTTGATAAGCTGATAACAGGAGCAGTGACATGCCTCTCCAGATGTTTTGCTCTTTGGCGGCGATACCTCACCTTAAGACGACTACATGTGATCCCTCCCTGCACTAAAAACGCCTGGATATCCGGAGGGGACGGCTTCGACTCCAATTGCGCTGCATCAGCGGGAATAGGGACGTTTGGGATGCTCCGGTATATACACACCACTACGATCAATCGCTCCCTCCCAGATTATGCAGAAGAAAACCTTTGACTGTGAGATCGAGATGGCCCAACGTTCCAAGACGTCAATGGACAGGGACGATCAAACGACGTCGCCAGGGATAGCCATGATAGCCTATTTAGACTAACGTTAGTGCAAACCGGGGGTTCAAAGAAGCTGCTGGTGGTCTCCGTACTGGCCCCTTTGATGATATGGACGCAAGGCACATCCTGTAGATTGGCAGCCTGCGGTTGGATGCTAAGAGCGCCACTGAACCAATGGCCAAAGTTTGACCGTCGCCTTGTTGACGGCAGGGCGATTTCTCAGCACAAAGAAGGACAATGGACTAGGCCTTGGACTTTTTCGCCTCCCCAATCGCGCTGTTTTCATCGTGCCGGGGCAACGGATCCGGATGCATCTCAAAATGCGTGATTCATTGTTTGGACTTGTGATCGGGCTCAAACAAGGAAAAAATGAAGCTGCTCTTTGAGGGCCGCGTAATACGGAACGACTGGCTAGATCTGGTGACTGAGAGAACATTGCAATCTGTCAGGCCCATGACGAGTGCGGCGGAGAAACAGTCATTGACCATCTATCCATCTATCCATCCATGCTGCCGCGCGGAGACTTTCATCTGCGTCTTCAACGGCTTCTATCCGCGCTTTGTGTGCCCTGTCGGCGTGCTACAGTATGCTAATGACAAAGTCCCTGGAGGCAGGGGACAGGGCAGGGGCTTTTAGTCTGGAAGCATGGGGTTTGCCTTCTAGAGATTCTTCGGCGCGCCCCCTTTCTTGGGTGATTCCTTTCAATATACGGCATCTAGCAAAGTTGCGAATCCCATTCCAATCAAGATATCCTTGCGCGGCTGAATCTGGAGGCTTGTATCCATGTAATTGCAGTTTTGAATTAATAATTCAGTTGTTGGATGAACTGCATGTCAACTCATCGGCTTTGGTCAGCCGCGAGTCGTTGAAAGTAGAAAGTAAGTTGCCAGTAGCAATTGCAGAATGTGCAACCGATTTGAATGAAACGCTGCCTAAAGCCTTGGCCATGGACCCATTACTGAGCGTGAACGATTTTGACCACTCCGCTTCTAGCCTGGGCTTTGTCCGAGCCAATTCGCGCTATCAATCTAGATTTCTGAAAGGATAAAGTTGTTAATGTGTGAAGCAAATAAGATGTATGCTAAATCTGGTGTGTTTTACAGAGCTTTTACTTGTACATGTAGGAGAATACTAGGCCTGGATCTACATTTATTTATGCGTGTTCAGCGTACTCTACCAATTAACGCGCGCTGTCTCTTACACGTCTGGAGAAGGCGGTACCAAGATCCGCATCATCACTTTAGGCGAAGAAGGCCATTCTTTAAAGATGCATATGCAGTGAAGTTTAGGAGAATATACATACATCAGGATAACACGTTTGTTCAAATGTTGTTTGGTGGGGTGGAAGACGCCATGAGTTTTGCGCGAGAATCCGACTAGATCGAGAGGATGTCGATTATGGCCCCTTGTTTCGGTCAGATGCTCCGGATGCAATGTACGCTTTTGTCCCTTCCAATCATGATACAGGCAGGGGAATTGTACTAACGCTGTTTCATAGATGGGATGGCCATACAGACCAAACCCGACAGAATCTTGAAGAATATATAGAGATTCAAAATCGAACAATATTTTGAAATAGTCAGAGGAGATTGGGACCCAATCGGCAGCAAAGGCTATTCTTGACTTTTGCCAAGCGCAGGTATGGCCTGATGGGGCTGACTTGTGGGATTGTCATCCGCGAGATGATGCTTTATCCCAGAGAAAGCGAGCCTTCTTCGCCTCTTGAAAAGCCAGAGAAACGTTCACCACCTCATCGACTAATGTTGCTGCTACTTCATCTTTAATGGACTCAGAAATCCAATCCATCCAGCATAGCAGGCCTCTACAACATACGGAATGTGGGCTGTCTTCTGCTGGACAGGATTCGCTACATGCTGAGGACGCTCTTAGGCAGTCAACTGAAAGTCTTGACAATGGCGGCAGCGGCGAGAAATCAGATACATGTACAGGGCGAATATTGATGGACGTCGCAGGCAAAGGCTCAAGGCGGCGGTCTCGGTGCGGATATCCATGCTCAAGCTTACAGCTGCCAATGGCTATGAGTGCTGGTTCTCTACGGATAATTTGGATATCCCAGGGCTGTGCAACACATTGAAGGTGGGCACGGTGATATTCTAATGCAGTAAAATATAAACTAGTGGTACATTTTCTTCCTAGGATATAAAGTTTTCTGTTTCTCCTTGAATATGGACTACTTTTACTCAGTATCGAGTCTATGAGCACATGGTTATTGCTGTCAGTCGAAGCTGGAATGAAGAGTTCTGCATGGAAGAATAAGAATTAAAATTGGAAGTCCCAAATCATTGATCCTCTGTGGCGCAATTGGCTAGCGCGTCTGACTGTTAATCAGGAGGTTGGAAGTTCGAGCCTTCCCGGAGGAGAATTGCAAATGCTTGTATTTTTGCAGATTCGAAACACAGCTTGGCATCTCAATACTGGGGAGATGTATCAATGGTTAGTTAAATAGGTAGATGTGGTGTCATTCTTTTTGTCTGTTTGCATTTATAGCAGATGGTTTTGTGACTCAACCTTGAAGCTCCCGAATAGGCAACTCTAAGCCGCGATGACTCTGAGAGATCAAAGTATCCAAATGTTTTGGCTGGGACATGGAAAACCGCCTCTTTCTGCTGTCCCCAGCTCACATCCAAACCATCTTGATGATTTCTCCACCACCTTTCACCACTCCATCTCGCTACAAGGCAGCAACGCCCACCTGCTCTGGGCGGATAAGCCGCAGCTCACCGAAAAAGAGTCACTGCAGCTTAGCCAGATGAGGCACTGCTCTCCAGGCAGCCGCTGCATCATCCGCCACCCAGTTGGTACCTGAAAAAGGCATCCGGCTTGCCTCTCGTATTGGCATTGGATATACTTGGGGGATACGCCGCGGTACAAACCAGCCCCTCGTCTGCATCCAGCAAGCATCCGGCATCTCTGCCCGTCAACTGGCCAGGACCTCCCATCACCAGCCCCGCCGTCTCGCATTGCCAGCAGTCACGCGGGGCTGTGTGTAGATTCTTTGTAGCCGGCCGTAGCCAGTCGCTTTCTGCAGCAAGCCGTAACTGTTCCGTGGACACGCATGCGAGTGGTTCTGCCAGGCAGGCGAGGCAACCAGCCGCAGCAGCCCAGCAAAGGAAATAAAAAATAAATTGCCGTCATTTGTGACGATGTGTTGGCTTGGGGATTCTGGATTCTGCACCTCTGTTTTTTCTCACCTCCCTGTAGTGGTGATTTCATTGGTAGGGACCTTGGGTGCTTATAAAAGTAGCGGTAGTTTACGTGTGTGCACCTACATGCACAGTCGTCAGTCAAATGACTTCAG